TTATGGTAATTTTATAGACATGTCTGCATGTAATTACATGGAAAATACAGCAAGTTGATTAATGCTTACAAATGTGAATATTTTATCTCTAGCTAATAAAGGTAAGCTAATTGATATATATATATAGAAAATTCTGTACCCAGTAAATAATTATTATTTATAAAATGTGGATCATTTATAAAGATAAACTTTGTACTTATCCACAGATGGCCTTAACAGCTTACCTGAACCTGATGCATTCATTAAACTAGAAACCCCAGTGTTGGACAGAAAAGCTCTACGCTGGGACTCCCAGGAGATATGCTGATGACTAAAGATGACCTTCTTAAAAATACTTAGGGCGGGGCTGGGTTCCAGCTCCAAGGTGGAGGCCTGGGCTCCCACCTCCCACCCCTAAATTTAAGGATAGAATCTGGAGAAAGCCACATGGCTGACGTCTTGCCCTGGAACTATAGTAGTACTTGGAAGTCATTTGCTATACTTGACTGTTGTCTCTTGTTTCTCTTTTCCCCTCACCTTCTGTGTTGCAGTTGGAACCCAGGCCTGTGCCCACCTCCCTGCCCTGCCACCCCCACTTCAAGTGTTTCCATCATTCTTTTTTTCTTTTGTCCTGGGATTGAGGTGCCTAACCACTGAGCCACATCCCCAGCCCTTCTTTGTACTTTTTTTTTTTTTTTTTTTTTTTAAGGAAGAAGCAGGTATTGGCTGGCAAGACTTTTTAGAGAGGAGAGAGAGAGAGAGAGAATTTTTTTTTAAATATTTGTTTTTTAGTTTTCGGTGGACACAACATCTTTATTTTTATGTGGTGCTGAGGATCGAACCCGGCGCCCCTGCGCATGCCAGGCAAGTGTGCTACCGCTTGAGCCACATATCCAGATCCCCTTCTTTGTACTTGTGTAGAATCAGGGTCTCGACGCGTTGCTCAGTGCCTTGCTGATCTGCTGAGGTTGGCTTTGAACTTGCCATCTTCTTGCCTCAGCCTCCCAGGCTGCTGGGATCACAGCGGGTCCCATTGTGCCTGGCGGTGCACCATTCTTCTTCTTTTTTTTTTTTTTTTTACATTTGTTCTAATTAGTTATATATGATAGCAGATTGCATTTTGATTCATCGTACACAAATCAAGCACAACTTTTCATTTCTCTGGTTCATTCTTCTTTTTTTTTTTTTCCAATTTCTTTTTAGTTGTCTATGGAAGGTTGTTTTATTAATTTATATGTGGTGCTGGGAATTGAACCCAGTGCCTCACTCATGCTAGTTAAGCACTCTTGCCACTGAGCCCCAGCCCCATGAACATCATTCTTAATGAGAATTCTGTTTTGTATCCAGGTTGCATGACTAGGAAGGGGTGGGTGTGGTGTTTGATCTCAGAGTCTTGATCTTAATTGAGATTTTATTTCTTTGCTGTGCTGCAGATGGTTCCCCAGGCCTCGTGCCTGCTGTGCAACACCACACCCCTGAAGTACCCCTCTCAGCCCCACAGTCGTTTTGGTCAGCTTTCTCATGGTTGTGACTTAAAAGACCTGACAAGAACAATTGTATAGGAGGAAAAGGGGCTCACAGTCTCAGAGGTCTCAGTCCGTAGATAGCCAGCTCCTTTCCTCAGAGCTTGTGGTGAGGCAGTGGAGTATGGCAGCATGAAGCAGCTCACATCATGATCAGACAGCAGAGAGAGACTCCATTTCCAAGTACAAAATATTTAAATATCCCAGAGACTACACCCCCAGTTACCACCTCCTCTTACCACAGCCTACCTGCCTTCAGCTCGCATTGAGTTAATCCATCACAGGATCGATGCACTGGTTGGTTAGGCTTTCACAACCCAAGCACTTCTCCTTTGAACCTTCTTGCATTGTCACATACTAGCCTTTGGAGGACACCTCACATCCATACCATAACAGTTTTTCTTTCACGCTATGTCCTTTGCTTGTAATGTGAAGTTTTATGCAACTTTGTGCATTAATAAAGCCTTTCAGATGTCTTAGAATGTTTACCAAATGATAATAAGAGATAGCTGGTTTGTGTACACATTAATGAAAGAATACATTTTATGTTAAGAAGTAGAAATTGGGGGCTGGGGTTGTAGCTCAGTGGTAGAGCGCTTGCCTGGCATGTGTTGAGGCACTGCATTGAATCATCAGCGCCACATAAAAATAAATAAAATAAAGGTGTTGTCCATCTACAACTAAAGAATATTTTTTTAAAAAAAAGTAGACATTGAGCTGAGCTAGATGGTGCCAGCAGTTTGGGAGGTGAGACAGGAGGATTAGGAGTTCAAAGCCAGCCTCACCAACTTAGTGAGCCCCCTAATCAATTTAGTGAGACCCTGCTTCTAAATACAATACCATGTGGTTCAGTGGTTGAGCCTCCTAGGTTCAATCCCAAGTACCCCCCGGCATTCCCAAAAAGTAGGCATTGAAAATATAATCTTTTGTTTCTTTTAAATTGATCACTAAAAAACTTGTTGATAAACAGAAATGTGTCTTCAAAGTCTCTGTAGTGTTTTGTGAAGGCTTCCAAAGTATTTTCTACCGATAATTGGAAGGAACCTTTTCCACTCATGAAGAAGTGCTTATGATGGGGGAGTGGCAGAGGGGGATCTGAATTAATACCTGTTAGTTGTTCATTTATTTCAATGGTTATTTAAGCTCACTGGTAGTTCCATCGTGTTGTGATTCCAAGGAAGGTATACCAGTTTGGTTTTGCATCTGTCTTAAATAATAGAAAAAATAAATCTATGTACCAGATAAACCTGCATTTATGAACCATGTGGGGTGGAAGTTACAGTTTACTGTGTTGAATATTTTGCTGTTTAAAAAAAAAACATTCCCACCACTTCAGACATACCATTGTCATCCAGCCCATGTGTCTGGCCATTTCAGAATCTCTCTTGACTGTCTATGCATGAATCCACCTGGACATGCCCTCCCACCCACTGAGACCACACGTCAACACCGCTCATTGTGTTAGTCGGGTTTTTTTATTTAGTTTTTTTCTGTGTTAGTTTTTTTTTTTTTTGACCTTTTTTAACTTGTAAAAAGGCCATTATTTCCCATATCTCACCAAACTCTTTCATCAAAGTGACCCAAAATATATTTTGGGGATTACTTTTGAAGTATTATTTTTGTCCCCAAAGCAGGCCCTTCTGAAACTGATGATGTCGATGAAAAACTGCCCCTTTCGAAGTCTTTGCAAGGTATAAACTTTTCACTTCCATTCTCCCACATCCTGTTGGTATTTGATGTTGCTTTATATTGGACAGACTGTTTTGTTATTTATAACTATATTATTACTTTTCCAAATGGAAAAGGAAAAATGTTTTGGCCTTTTTTTTAAACATATAAATGAACTTCACAAGCAACAATTTTTCAAAACCAATTTTCCCTTTTGTGAATCTAGTAATGAATCTCGAAATGGGTACATGACACACTTTCCTATTTAAGGTAAAGTACACATTTATACCTTATATCAGAATAGTCAGAATAAGGTTGTTGTTGTATAAAGTCAGTGATGTAAATATTGATAAGGTCATATTGATACTTAATTTTTGAAAGGATTGTAAAATATCACTTATCCCTGGGTTTATTAATTGATTGCCTTTTTGGAATTGTCGTGTAGTAGTCCCAAGTTGACAATCATAGGCTGTAGTGATGGCTTTTATTTCTGTCTGTCTGGGCTTTGGGAGTTTAAGATTGACTTTGTTAGATGTCCTCTGTTGTGTGAGTGTCACTGTCTAAGATTTAACAGAGCATAGAGGACACGGCCTGGACTACATAGCCACCACCCTGGCCGGTCTCGCTCTTGACTCATGCTCTCCTTTGACTCCTGGACTCTGCTCCACTGCCTCTCCTCCTTTTGACTTGACATCTTTGTTTCCTTTGACTTTTGCAGTCAAAGAACTTAAAAGAGTCCAAAATCGCAGACGTGAGGGTAAAAGCCAAGCGAAGGAGTGGGTATGAGAGGTATTTTATTCAGTTGGAATAGCTGAGTGGTGTAGATTTGCCTCTAGTTGTGAGTTCAGATAAGTTCATGGGATAAAGTAGAAAAGAACCTCAAGATAATTATGCTGTGTTAAAGCCAGAGAAAAAACCCAGCAGTTTGACCTAGAACGACAGCTTCATGGCCATTGTGAGGCTGCAGTTAATCAAGAAGAATGTTTTCCTAGCTGAGGCCTTTGTTTAGTAAGCTTGTGACTGAGTTGAGTCACCAGTAGATGAGACAGGTGGATGGCCTGCTCTCTCCCCCTCTGCGACTCCGTCTTGCCCAGAGCTGGTGTCTTTTGCCCTCACTAGAAGGCAGTGCTTCAGCACCTGTCCCTTGCTGGTGGCATAGGTGTTCAGGAGCTGGGGCACTCACCTCGTGGCTCTCTGGCGTCTGAGGTCCTTTCTTTCCTAGGATGAGCCTGTTTACCGTGACTGCCTAACCTGACATGTTGTTTATGTTCCAGTGTTTAGATGCAGGCAGATTATATTACCTGAATTAGAATGCTTTTGAGACTCAAGGTAGTATCTTAAATTTTAACTTCTGAGTTTCCTGAAGTGCAGCTACAGTCAAGTGGTGGGGAAAGCGCTTCCTTAGCCTCTGTGGTAGTGAGTGGAGGGCTGCACACGCGCCTCAGTCTTTGAGCGAACAGGGTCTCCTGGGTTTGTCTTCCCGTTGCTGTTGTGGGTTGTTGACAGAGGGGCACGGGACCCGAAGCCACTGAGCTTCTCAGACCCCAGCACCTGCCAGAGATCGCGGTGCACAATCTGGAACAAGTGATGTTAAGCCCCTAAGCCCCCTAGCTTCATCTATGTGTTTGTATTTTCCAAAAAAGTTAGCTTCCAAGTAGAAGTGTTGTATGTTTTTCTGAATTAGAGAACATTGTTTGAAATAATTACTAAGAGTTAAGAATGGTTTGTGTGTGTTCATTATGTGTTAAATTGCTTGTGCTGTTACCTAGTTCTTCATTCTTCTGTGTGGGTTTTGGTTGGTCTAGTACATACTGTTTATTTTCTTTTTAGGAAGCCATCACTCTTCGGAAGGCAACGAGGGAACAGAAATGGAGGTGCCTGCAGAAGGTTAGGGGAAGGATTTTGAATTTTACTATAGTTGTATGTTGTATTTTATAGATGATACCATCCTTAAAATACTGTCTTGGAGATAAAAAAAAAAAAGACAATTGTGCAGTCTGCCTTCCCGGCCAGCAGTTTTCTTTTTAGAGACCTAGGACCGGCCGTTCCCTCTCTGTGTGGCCAGCAGAGCAGGTGGGCCGGCCACCCTGTGGTGAGTACCGCTCCTCTTGCCCCGTGTGCACGGGGTGGTGCTGTTCTTGTCTGGTTTTTCTGTGCCATGTTAAAAATGTGTTGAGGAGAAATAGCTTCAAGTGTTTTAGAAATAAAATCAGAACTGGCTGTGTCAATATTCATTTTAAAATGTCCTATTGAAAACTTTACATTTTACAGTTGGGTGACATACTATAAATATATTAATGAAGGAGTTTGTCTCTTATTTTTATACCCATAAGTGCCTCCTGAGACACGTTACCAGTGTCCCGGCTGTATTGGCTTGGAACTGGGGACTCAGCATCGCAGTGTGCTGCAGCTTTTACCTGTAGGCTCGGGGGTGACCTGGGGCCAGGTGATGGCTTTCTGCAGCTAGACTAAGTGGTTCTCCAGGAGGCTGGTAGGTTGCCCACAGAGGGCGCCTGGTAAGGGTTCAGAGTGCTCTGATCACGGGTCATATTGTGCATTATTTTTCTTAGATAAAAAGGGAATCTGTTCTGTGGCTTTATGTTTATTTTTAAAAATCAAGAATTTGACCTTTTGCCTTCCTGGAGTGAAGGAGACAACAACTTCAAGTTTCCGAAGTTTCTTTCCAAATTCAGGTGCAGACTGGCAGTTTCTAATTGGAATTCATTCTCTCAGAAGTGTTGATGTGCTAATTTCAAACTCTGTACTGGTTGTTTGGGGGGCAGTCAGCCCATGTTTTGATGTCGGAGGTGATCTGATACTCTCTCTGCCTCAAAACTGTGGTTTTGGAAGGGCAGCCTCCCCGCTGCAGCCACCTGGACAGAAGCTGCGAGGTGCAGGGCTACAGGCAGTAGCGCAGGGCTCACAGGTATGGGACTTGCCCCAGGTGCTAGGCTTTGAAAGACTTTGTTTTGAGGAGATTTTTATCGTCATAGTCTACTCTTAGCAGAATTGTATTGAACCTGGGTTCTGATCTTTACTCCTTTACTAACAAGTAATCATAATCTCTGGCAAATCGATTAATCTCTCACCTCTGCAAAATGAAGGCAAGCTACTGAAAACACCCTGTAGCTGAGCTTGTGGCACTAACATTCCAACGTACATTTGCTGAATACAATGAGACACTTACTTAGCGCTGAAAGTCCCTTGCCACAGAGTGAAAGGGTCTAGCCATGTATGCAGCTGTCACAGTCGTTTCCTTGAGATGAGGGGGTCTCCATCACAAGAGATGGATTGTGGTTTCAGTTAACAGTTACAAACCCCAATAGGATACCTACAAGGAGAGGAGAGATAGAATCTCAAGTGTGAAGCGTTTATTTTTATCCTGGCATTTTCTAGTTATAGCAGGAAAAATAAGTGTGAATTTGTTGTAATTTTATGCCTCCAAGAAATATGTTTTTTTTTCTTTTGAGTTCTTAATTAATGCAGATAACTTTGTTTTATTTAATAGTTTTAGAGTTTTTCTAGTTTTGTTTCTTTTATCCCTATTTATAACCAACAGGGTCAAATATTTTTAACATATGAAATGAATTAAAATGCCAGTTACATTTAATTGTAGGCTGCTTTTGGATATCAAATCAGTAAAATGTTGGAACATATGGAAAATGCTTAATAATGAATGTCATTTTAGAATTTTATTTTTTTCAAGATTCTACTCAACATGTCCCTTCAGAAACAAGTGAGGACCCTGAAGTTGAGGTGACTATTGAAGGTTAGTTGTCTAAAAGCCTTGATTCCAAAGGTTGACTTCTGGTCATAAAATGTGTCACATTCACATTGCTAAGTATGCATTCCATTCATTCTTAAAGGAAACCTGTGAAATGAGTTGATACATATATACGTATATGTATGTGTGTTGGTGTGACCAGGCAGCCCACTTCCAGCCATGCACCCGGTGCTTTGGGAGTTTTGGACAGCAGAGTTGAGCCGTAGAAGATAGCGTTGGCCCACAGTTGACCAGAGCACACCCTCTGCCTGTGGGAACGAGGATGTTATGGCCAGACTTGGTGCCTTTAGAAGCAGCCTGTGACCTGTTGGGTGTGGTAGAGGCACGATAGAGCTGGAACCCTTGGTATCTCATTAGGCACAGTGTAGGAGAAGGTGCTGAGTCTCCCTTCAGTGTTTGGTTTTGTTTTTGGGGCAAGGGTCTCCCTCTGTGGCCCAGGGTGGCCTGGAGCTGCTGGACTGGCCACGCTCCTGAGGAGCTGGAGCTGAGCATGCCCACCATTCCTGGCCTGTCAGTAATGTTTTTCTGAGAAGGGGCTTCACTCTGTTCCCACGCTGCTCTTACTTTCCCGGGCTCCAGCGAGCGTCCCTCCTCAGCTTCCCACCTGTCCCACCCTGCAGGTGTGGGCCCCTGCTCTGGCCAGTCAGTAATCTTTAATAAAGCTGCTGCCTACCCCTTGAAATGCTGCTTAGTGATTTACCTGGGATTTGTTCTTTAAACTGTTTTTAAGCAATAGCTACAAGTATATTTGAAAATATCTCTATAGCTGAAGTTGCTTTGAACCTAATTTTTTCTTCAAAGGTAGGCAAAGCACAGATGAGCCAGTTTGTAATGAAGATGACAGTGTCTCTTTTCATGTTAGATAATTATTAAGTGTGGATTGGATCGTTTTCCTTTTAAATCAGTGTCTCACAGTGCTCGCGCACGATCTCCCCCATCAGCGGTGTCCCAGCTGTGTAGGAGCTGTGCTCCCCTCACCCCGTTCTGTCCTGGGCTCAGGAGCACGCAGCAGGGCGTGGTTTGTGTGTGGCGGTCTGTGTGTGCGTGTGGTTTTGTGAAAGTACATAGAGGCTGTTTGCATGCATTGTAACAGATTCCCCTCAGGCTCCCCGTAGCGCCCAACCCCCGGGGACCACCCATTTGGGTACTCGCCTCTTTCCTCCTAACTGCTGCATGAACTTTTCTTGGCTCAGGGACTTGGATGTCCCTCCCCTTCCCCGTTGTCCCTGTACCTTGCTGGTGTCACTCGGGAATGGGGGTGTCTGGCCACTCCAGGCTGCTCCAGACGTTTGCTTTTCCTCCTCTAAAGTGTAAGCTGGTTCCAGCTTCTGTCCAGGGTGGGAAATCCTTTCACATTTAATGTGCTGATCTCAGTTGATTAATGTACAGATTTCTTTTCTCATTAACAAAATTTTACTAACCTAAAGGGTACTTTATATTGTTTGTAGTCTCCCATTAAATAATTGAAATATTATTACTTTGTAAAGACCTCATTAATTGTCAGAGGAGAACATTTATAAGAGCATATAAATAGCACAGCTTTGTTTTATTTACAGAAATGATAAAAGTGGGTGATTATTAAAATATACAAGTGAAACCTTGGGATAAGACTAATAACCAAGTTGATATATCAAAATTTAGAGCATAGGCTGTTTCAAAAATTTAGAAAACACTTTTTTAAGACTTAATGAGAGGTTATAAAAACCAGGAAATAAATGAATGAAATCTAAAGCATTTATCAGTCATTTCAACTTTAAATCTTTAAGGGGGAGTGATGAATCTCATTTCTTTTAAACTAAACATGGTAAAATAAATCTTATTTACCATCCAAATTTGTGATTGGAGAGTCGAGTTTTACTGTATAGGCTGATTCTTCACATTCAACAAACCAGTGAAACACGAGTGACATTTTCCTGGTCCCTGTATGCAGTTTCCATGTAAACTCTATGTGGGCTGTTTGTCACATCGCCAGCCATTTTTCAGCCAGCCATTGAGGAAGGTAAAACTTAAGTTTTAATGTTAACAGGGAAGGTCAGATAAGAACTTGCTGTGACATCTGGTTGGTGTGTATATTTATTCTTTCTGGAAAGATGACTGCAGAATGGTAGGTGCCATTTAATAGCCACAGAAAATTAAATTTGGGGGGCTGGGGTTGTGGCTCAGGTAGTAGAGCGCTCACCTGGCATGCGTGAGGCACTGGGTTCCATCCTTAGCACTACATAAAAATAAAAATTAAAGCTATTGTGTCCACCTACAACTAAAAAATATGTATTTAAAAAAATTAAATTTTGGTCTATCCTTATAATAGAAAAATATGTAGGCATTGAAATACTGATATGTTTTTCTTAATGCTATGATATGAAAAAAATATTCCTAATATACTATTATGTTTAGAGGAAAAAATGCCTTTCATTCGATGAGGCCAGCTTAAGGGGCACGATGCCCCTGCTGCCTGGAGATGCACTCCCTCCTGTTGCCTCTCCCTGCATTTCTCTGCGAGCTCACAGGAGAGGCACGCGAGGCCTGGCGTTTCCCTGCCTAGCCTCATTTGAAGTCAGCCAGGGCTGCAGCTCTGCGGGGTGCAGGCGTGTGTCTCTAGAGATGGCGCTTCTTGCCCTCTGCTGGGTGTGCTCTTTGTGCTGACCCACCCGAACCTGGAGTCAGTGGTAGCCTTGAAAACATGGCAGCTCAAGCTTGGACCCCTGGGGGCAGGGTGACTGCAAGCCTCAATTTCATAAGCAACATTGTGATTGCTATCAGTTCTGATATCTGTGATATGTGATGAGAAAATCTTAGCATTTAAAAAAAATATATTTATTTTCATGTGGTGCTGAGGATGAAACCCAGGGCCTTGAACAGGCTAGGCCAGTGCTCTACTGCTGAGCCACAACCCCATACTCAAATTTTAGTACTTTTTAGGGCTTGTTACCATATACTTACTCTAGGTTCAGCTAATAGAGGGGACTTTTTGGTTTCAAAGGGGTTTCCTTATTGCACAGTTTGTTTTTAATAATCCTGAGTCATTCAAGTGCGTTCATTTTGCTATGGCCTAATCCAGGTCATTATTTTCTTTCACTGTTTTCTTTAAGTGATTTTAAGTAAATTTATTTTTTAAATTATTTTGCATCTCTCTATGTCAACTATCTTTGAAATTTTTATTTTTAGTCTATTTTAAAGGTGTACGTAAGAGGTAGGGGTGTGGCTCATTGATGGATTGCTTGCTTGGCAGCCACCAGGTCCTGGGTATTATACTGGTACTCTGTATGTATTTGATTACATGTTCTATAGTTATTACAATAACAATCAGAGAATCTGTGATTGAACTTAACATTTGAAAATTTTTGTTCTTTTTATACCTGCTAGACAGTCACTTAATGAAGACCCAATTGTTTAAACACAGATGAGAGTTTTACAGAAGCTGCATACAACAAATTGGGTCAATGTTATATTAGAGTTTTGATATCATGGTGGATTTACAATTGACAGTGGGTATGTGTCATTCTCTGGTAACTTTTTGTGGAATTAGTTGCTGCATATAAATAAGCCCTATACTAGGCATGTTCACTTAAATTTTCCACAAATATTGGGGACCTTGTATGTGCCAGGCAGTGTACTGGGTGCTGAAGATTTAACAGTGGGCAAAACAGGTGGATCAGTTGGCATGCTTTGAAGAGGAATGACGGGACCTGCTGCTTATTTCAAGAAACATAGCCACAGTGTTGAAGGCACTCAGAATAACTTACAGTAGAAAGAGAACTCGTTCAGGGGGGCGTGGCATTCACGCAGGGCACAGAGAGAAGTGCTCTCAGCAGGCGGGGCAGTAGAGGTAGGAGTGAGTGCCTCTGGGTGGGTTTGAAAGAGAGCGTATACCTGGCTAATTCTAGGTAGGTTGGTTACTGTGCTTCTCGGGAGTGCTACTGGGGTAGATTGCGTAAGTCAGCATTTTAAAAGTTTGTGTTGTAAATTTTTATAGCTTTTAAATAGTTGGTGAATACATAATTGTTTATGTAAAAATGTGGATTTTAGGTCAGTTATTTTAAATTGGATGCTTGTGTGAAGAAATGGGATCTGTTTATTTGAGCTGTGCAGTGTAATTAGTGGCTCTTTTTCAAAAGACACAGTATACCCAATTTTTTTTTAAACTCTGAACGCATGTAAGTTTGGATGTTAAAAAATTGACCATCTGATTATGATGAAAGTCTACCCTGGATGGCCAGCTTGAGGCCAGCCTCAGCAGTGAAGGATATCTTGTCTCAGAATAAAAAATGACAAGATCTGGGGAGTCCAGTCCAGTGAGAGTGTCCCTGGGTCAAATCCCTAGTATGGGGGGCGGGGAAGGCCATCAAAATCCTGTCACACAGTGTTTTAGCAAGCGCTGGCTAAACACAGACGTGGTTGCTGAGCTCCCGCTCTGAACCGAGGTGTGCAAGTGGCTTGTAGAAAGGAAAACAGGTTTCCTCTCGAAATTTCAAGTGAGGGACCCTGTGGCCTGAATTTTCTTTTCTTTTTTTTTTTTTTTTTATATGACTATTAACACTTTCTTTTATTGAATTTTCAAACTATATTTTGAGAGTTAAACTTAAAAATAATACTTCATATATTTGCCATTATGTTTTCACTTAATCTATTTATATCACCTTTGACTATTTGAAATTCTTACAGTAGTTTATAAACTGAGGTGATGTAGACAGTCTGGTCTTACTTTACTGGGGGTTTGTAATTTTTAAGTTATTTTCAGATTTCTTTCCTTGATTTTCCTTGAAACAGGGTTTCTAAAATGGCTTCACCACAACAAGGTGTTTAGAATGTTGGAAATTATTAATATGTTTTCCTGAAATAAAAGTATCATCCTCAAAAAGCAGTTTCATCTTGCCAGACACATAATTAGGTTCCAGTGGGGTTTTATCTGGTGCCTGTTGGGTTGGTACAGTTTTTTTACTGTAACAGCTGGCAGATACTCTCAGGTGACTTTGGCATTACAGGGAGGCCTGGTGGCAGCCAGCAGGACAGTAGTGTCGTCTGTGTTCCCTGCTGCCGCAGGGCAAGGAGGTGCCTGAATTTTCAGCTCCACTCAAGGTTCCCCTTCAGATCCAGCACTTGGTTGGGTGCACGTGCATGCCTGTGACAGGAAGAGCCAAGTTCAAGGCCAGCCTCAGCAATTTGGTGAGACCCTGTCTCAAAATAATAGATAAAAAGAGCTGGGGAATGTGACTCAGTGGTAGAGTGACCCTGTGTTCAATGCTTTTCACCACTGGGGGGAAAAAAGCTCTCCCGTGGCCAGAAAGATTTAAAAAGACAGACAGACAGACAGAGAGTACTGCAGCTGGCCTGCCGCTGTGCCAGGCAACATAACATGGTACATAGAGCTAGATGGGCAGGTTTTTCCTTGCAGTACTGGGGATGGACCTCAGGGGCACTCTGCCCCCAGATATACCCCCAGTCCTTCATACATTTTTTTATTTTGAGACAGGGTCTTATTAAGTGGCCCAGGCTGGCTTCAAACTTAGAATCCTTTTGACTTCAGCCTCCGACGAGTTGCTGGGATTTATAGGTTTGTGGCACTGTGCCCTGCTTCAGATGTGCATTCCTTCCATTTCTGAGAGTTGACCTCGTGGTTAGTGGACAGGACAGTAACTACCCCAGAGTGTGGTCCTGGCTGCACTGTGTGTGTAGTGGTGGGATGTGCTCTCTGCACCCATGTAGTTGTGAAGCGAGAGCAAGTTCATCTGCCCTAAAGCAGTTTCTTGCCGCATTTGACCCTCTTGTCATTGCTATTGTCTTTTAAACAGCAATTATTTTTAGCTTTATACGTACGATATTTGTTATTAAAATGGTATTCTTCACGATTTACAGATGATGTTTAAATAGAACTCCCAGTGGCATGGGTTGCCTGGGGTTCTTTGGGAGGACTCTGGTATTGTAGACACACTCTGCAGGAAATTAGCATAGGCCTCCAACAGGTGTCTTCAGCCGTCTGTGTGCAGATCTGAAGGCCCATTTATGCATGTGTCCTTTGTTGCGTGAACCAGCATTTGTTTCATAAGTAATATAGCCCTGTTTCTTTCATCTTGTAAATTTTGTGTTTGATATACAGTTAATCCACCCTCCTTTGTTGATACATGCTTGGGTTTTCTATAAACTCAATGTAAGTATTTTTCATTCGAACCTTATTTGTCCTCCTGCTGTGTTTGGATAAATTTAGGTGAGTGTCTCTGTTAGAACTTGTTCTTGAAAAATCTAGAGTAAGATTCTAGGCAGCCATTTGAAAAATACTTGAGGAGATGGAGAATTTTATAATGTGGCATCTCAGATGGAGCGAACTAAAAACACTAGCAAGGCAGAGGAGCAGGCTGCAGCCGTGCACTCGCCAGAGGAGTGGGAGGTGGCGGCCTGGCCTGGAAATCTGTAGTGGCAGGGGTCCTAGGAGTGGTTCTTGATGCGCCTTGTGCCTTTGGTGCGAGAGGTTGACAGGCCTGGGCTGTCACTCGTGTACCCCGTTCCTCTAGTAATGACAGTTTTCTTTCTCAAGATGATGATTACTCTCCACCCACCAAGAGACCAAAGAGCAACGAGCCTCCACAGCCACCTGTCGCAGAGCCTGCAAATGCCGGGAAGCGGAAAGTGAGGGAGTTCAATTTCGGTAGGTGGAGCAGGGCCTCTCCAGCTCTGTGCTGTGGTGACAGGCGGAGGCCCTCAGTGGGGACAGCAGCGCTGTGGTCTCTTCTGGAAAGTGGGCCCAGTCAGTTGGGTTCGCTGAAGCCTTAAGCATGTAGCTTCTGGCGTTAAGCACAGCGAGCGGACTCTGTTGATGACTTAGCAATTATTTCTCTTAGCGTTAAAATCTCCTTTTATTTAAGGACTGTTTGACTTCTTGATTTTCATTTTTGTTTTGTGTGACTACCATCTGCTAATACACCAGTCCCCAGTCAGTGGATTAAGGGACTAAATAAAATATCCGTGGTGAATTGTATGTGTGAGCCATACTTCCAATAAAGAGAATGCTTATCTCATTTATGTTTGAAAACAACATTTTGTTCATTCATTCATTCATTTATTTCTCTATCTATCTATTTATTTATTTGTGGTGCTGGGGGCTTTGCCCATGCTGGGGAGGTGCTCGACACGGAGTCACAGCCCCAGCCCTGGAGGCAGTGTCTTTAATATCCTCCCTTGTTAAAGTCACAACTACTAGATGGAGATTGAATTTTTGTCTACATAAATTTATTCACGCTTATGTTCTTTAAGACTCTGTGAAGTCGCAGCTACGCACTTGTCAAGTCTTACTTCCGCCCAGCTAGCACCCGCCTTGGAGGATTCCTGAGTCCCCTGGAGGCCCTGCTCTCTTGCCCTTGTTTTGTGGTGTTTAACTGCACTGGTCTTCTCTGACCTCCTCCTTGTCAGAAACTGAAAGGCTTTAAAACTGGGAGGTAGTCATTGGGAAGGGGTTTGAAAATAAACTTAAAAACGTTCCTTAAATCTCCTTTTGAAATCAAGAACCACAAAATGGGGAGAAGCCCTGGGAAAGCAGTGCAGCCTGAGGGAACTGGTGAGAGTCAGGCTCTGGGGTGGGCTCAGAGCAGGCGATGTGGGTCATGGAGGGCACAGCGGAACCCGCCTGCGCATCTGATACTGACCGTTCCTCTCAATTTTCAGAGAAATGGAACGCGCGAATTACTGATCTACGTAAACAAGTTGAAGAGTTGTTTGAAAGAAAATACGGTATGTCTGAATGGAAGAATTCTTTTAATTCTTGGTTGGAAGTATTTAAACAGTGGAGTTGGTGTTCACCATCCCAAGGTGAGGAGCGCATGGCCAGGGCTGTCCTGGAGCCTTGCCTCCCTCATACACTGTCCCCAACAAGGTCATTTACAGAGGTCACTTTCAGAGGCTGGATAGTGGAAACTTTATTTCTTAATTTCCTTAAATGCCTATTAACATTTCTTTTAAATGTTGAGTATCCACATTTGGGGATATCTTTACATATCATGACAAAGTCTTGGATTTTAAAAGTTACTTGAAGATGGTTTTCCTGAGCTGCTTCTGGTCTGCTGTGTTAATAAGTTCATTATTTATTGAGATGCCTGTATTTTCTGTTGTTGATGTATAAATAAGTTTGTTATATTTCAGAATCTTGGGCTGGGGATGTGGCTCAAGCGGTAGTGCGCTCGCCTGGCATGCGTGCTGCCCGGGTTCGATCCTCAGCACCACATACAAACAAAGATGTTGTGTCTGCCGAGAACTAAAAAAAATAAATAAATATTAAAAAATTCTCTCTCAAAAAAAAAAAAAAAAAAAGATTTCAGAATCTTTACTCCTTTGCTTTCCTGCTTTATCCTGTAGTTACTCTTATAATGGTGAAAGAAAAGCGATTTGTTATCACCAGCTGGTGTATATCAAATGCTCATCTAAAAAAAGCAATAATCATTGAAAAATGTCATGTGTTTTATCTTTTCCCCCTAGTCCTGGGGATTGAACCCAGGGTTGTATTCATGCCAGGCAAGGGCTCTTGCCTCCCATGAGGCAGGCTGCAAAATTCTGTAATACAGTTGGTTTTTTTGTTGTTGTTTTATTTTGAGCAGGGGTCTTATAAAGTTGCCTGGTCTGATCTCAAACTCCTGGGCTCGAGCAATTTTCTTGCCTCCGACTCCCAAGTAGATGGTACTCTACAGGTGTGCACCATTGCACCCAGCTCAATATATTGAAATTTAGCTTGCAAATCTATTATAATGTTTTCCTGCATCATTTAATTTCTTATTTCTTTTTTGTCTTGGTAATTGAACCCAGGAGTAATCTACCACAGAGTTATATCCCTAGCCCTTTTTTTCCTATTTTGAGACAGATCTCTGTTAAGTTGCTGAGGCTGGCTTTGAAATTGTGATCTTCCTGCTTCAGTCTGCCTACTTGCTGGGATTACAGGCCTGCACCATGGCGTCCAGCTGCCATTGAATTTCTTTATGTGAAGTTTTGTAGCATTAGAACTTATATTGCTGTTATTTACCTTAAGAAACTTGAACATAGTTTTTCTTGAATCCAGCAGTGCTTAGCCACTGAGCCATGTCCCTGGCCCTTTTTTGTCTTTTTATTTTGAGACAGAGTCTCTGTAAGTTGCTGAGAGGTTGGCCCTGACTTTGATCCTCCTGCCTCAGCCTCCTGAGCCACTGGTATTACAGGCGTGCCCCACCGTGCCTGGCTCAACATTTGTTTCTTTAATTTTTTTTTTTTAAGTTGTTGATAGACCCTTTTCTTATTCATTTATTTGATTGTGGTGCTGAGAATCAAACCCAGTGCCTCACACATTGAACCACGATCCCAGCCCCAACATTTGTTTCTTTGTCAGGGTCAACAAACCAATTGCTCAGTGAAAATCTAGAATTAAGAGTAAGTTTGCTAACTTTTCTGAAATGCTTTCAGTTATTTCCTTAAGGTTCTTTTAGTTTTCCTCCCACTTTGTCAGAGTTTCAAGCCTGTTTTTGCATGTGCTTTTAATTGCTCCATTTCAAAGCAGAATGCACATGACATACTTTGTGTGGAAGCCATGTGACATAGTGAGGAGACCACAGGCTCTGGGGACAGAGTGCCTGAGTGTGTCTCTGCCCTCTGAACTTTCTGTGAAGGGAGAAGGCACACCTTCCCTGCAGGTCTGAGGCTGCAGAGTGCTGCACATGGCACCTGCCCAGAAGCCCATGACCCGCGCCCTGCCCTGCTCTCACGCTCGGTTCTGGCTGTTCTGGGTAGAATGGCTTGGTGCTGACAAGACGTTATTGATTTCCACTCCCATAAAGTGTAGCGGAGGTTACGTTTTGAGCTTTTGTTGTGAATGTGATTTATTCGGTTATTTTGCATAGAGCAAGGAAAATAATTGTTTAGCAAATCTTGTGAAATTGCGATCACAATCTTCACATCTTATAATTTCAAAGCCAGTTGAAATGGCAGTTTCTTTAGGGCAGACATTTTCACAGGTCTGTAAATGTGTTTTTTAGATTCAGCATATCAGCAAAGGAGGGGCTGTGCATCTCCCTCGGCACTCATGTGTGGCGTGGCACTTGAAAGTTAATGTTCAATAAATAGGTTTCTGTTCAGAATACTAGTAAAATATGAGACTTAATGGGGAGGGCAAGCTATATCTGATTATTCCTATTCCCCAGGCTTTGGACATTTCATAACTCTTGTATTATTTTACTGTTGAATAAATAAGTATTAGCAGAAATTTTTCATAAGTTTCTCCTCTTGTTATATAAAAGTAATCCTTTGTGAACCCACAACATTTAGACCACGTGTGTCTTCTACACGCTGCTGCTCTTCCCGGCACAGCCACCCCAGGAGTGGGTAGTGCTCCTTTCCCTTTCACACTCTGCCTCCATTTTCAGCAGAAAGTCTGGCTCCGTCTGCAGTGCCTTAGGTTAGGGTTAGGGGGACAGAATATGGGTTCCTGGGTGTTCTTTTAGTTGTCATGGACTTTTTTTTTTCTGATTCAGTTTTACTAACAGGAATAAGATAAAATGATAGGCACCCAAGAACAGTGTGTGTTTGATTATTACTTTCTACAGCGTGCTCAGATCCCTGTCTTGTAATGACACGATTCCTTTCTCTTTTTATCGTTAAAGCTCAAGCAATAAAAGCCAAAGGTCCGGTGACGATCCCATACCCTCTTTTCCAGTCTCATGTTGAAGATCTTTATGTAGAGGGACTTCCCGAAGGAATTCCTTTCAGAAGGCCGTCTACGTATGGAATTCCTCGACTCGAGAGGATATTGCTTGCAAAGGAAAGGATTCGTTTTGTGATCAAGAAGTAAGACGCATGCACTTCACCATTTCTTGCCTTTGTTCTCATTAGGACGTGATCGACACTCATGAGCCACGAGGGTTGTATAAATGTTTGGGTTACTATATGTAATTTTATCTTCCACTTTTAAGTTGGTCTGTGTGAAGAATTGCCTCAGTATGCTACAATTGACTTTTGAACTTCAAACACTTGCCTCTACCCAGTGGGTCTATAATTGTCCTTTTCCTTCCATTTTTTGCTAGGTATACTAATGTATGTCTTAGTTCTACAAATTTCAAAGCATATGTGTAAATATATGAGTGTACAATAAAGGGCTGTGGGTATACCTCATGGTAAAGCCCCCTGGTTTTAATCCCCAATAACAAAAAAGAAAAGCTCTAAATTTTTTAGCATTGACTTTAAAAGTGTAGGGTTTTTTTATCTCAGAATTTAGTAAATGTTTTGTTTCACAGTTTATTAATATTATTCAGACACTATGAATTCTGCTGACATCATTCTATATGAATTTCTGACATATTTAGAATTTTAGTTACCAGTTGTTAGGTGTTGGGAAGTAGATAGTCTTGAAAATAATATAAAATTAAAGGATCTCAATAGGCGCGGTGGCACACGCATGTAATCCCAGTGGCTGGGGAGGCTGGGGCAGGAGGATTGTGAGTTCAAAGCCAGCCTCAGCAATGGTGAAGTGCTAAGCAACTCAGTAAAAACCTCTCTCTAATTAAAATAGGGTGAGGGACATGGCTTAGTGGTCGGGTGCCCTGAGTTCGACTCTTGGTCACACCCCCTTCCCCCAAATTAAATAATCTCACGTAAAATTTTTGTAATATGCTTATTAAAATGCCTTTGGGTTGCGAAGGTGCCTGTTTTCCTGGAGGACACAAGATCCCCAAGGCACCTTAGGAGACTTTACAGTCACCATTCTGTTCACCCTGTAGATACCCAGAAACTTAGGTTTACTGTGCCCCAGAGTCCAGGAGGTCTTTTCTTCTTGACACCGGCCTTCGTGGCATCAGTATGTACTCGGGTTCCCATCTTGCCACCTGCTTCTGGTGGTCCTCACTGCTCACTCTGCCTTTCAGACACGAGCTCCTGAACTCCACGCGGGAAGACCTGCAGCTCGACAAACCCGCGTCCGGAGGTGGGTCTCCAGTCTTGGCGACAGCAGAAGGCTGTGTGCCTTGGTCTCTCCTTTGAGCCACCTGTGGGGAAGGAATGTACCACGGCCACTGGTGGGGTGCCACTGCAGGCACAAGTGTTTCAGAGTCCTCCAGAACCATAGCTCGCTTTCTCAATGGTGGCCCATCGTGAACAGTGGGGAGGGACATCCCGTTACTAGGTAGACAGAACTGAAGGAACCCTGCGTGTTCTACTTTTGAGAGGCAGAGTTTTGGTTCACCACCATTTTTTAAGTTGGACTGATCTCTCCTGGTCCCTGGGCCCCTCATTGAAGGGCTGGGTGTGGTGACCGCTCCTGGGCCTGGGGGCTGGCCTTTCAGAGCAGGTGGCTGCAGCCCTGTGAGCGGGTCCTTCTTTGCAGGAAGTACAGTGTATTTCTTTATGTTCTTGTTTGCCTTTGTCTGGAGTGGAGGGGGGCAGGGGTGGAAGATGGAAGCCCCACACGGCTGGAGCTGGTGTCATGGAAGTACTCTGCCTGTGCGGTCACATCCCTGGACTTTCATTGCAGAATGACTTGCTTGTTCTTGAGTAAACCAGTTTTTTTCCTGGCTTTATTGAACTTGGTTTCATTGGTTGTTTTTTTGCTCAGTCAGCATCTCTTTAGTAATGAAGCACTCCGACATCTTAGAAATGGCTTAGTCACAAAAAGGAAAAAAATGACATTTTATGATCATGATATGTCACAGTCTGAGCCCTTAAAGCCACGAAATTGAGAAAATTTATGTACTTATTCTTACAGTCAAAGAAGAGTGGTATGCCAGAATCACTAAGCTAAGAAAGATGGTAGATCAACTTTTCTGCAAAAAGTTTGGTAAGTCTTTTTTTTTCCAATTGAAGCATATTATACAATGTTTTTTTTCCTTTCTAATTTAAGGAAAGTAAGATGAATCTGATTCACCTTCAGATTTTTCATAGCATATTTGAAGATCTTTTTAGTTGTAGATAGACGCAATACCTTTATTTAATGTGGTGCTGGGGGTCGAATCCAATGCCTCACAAGTGCAAGATGAGCACTCTAGCACTGAGCCACAACTCCAGCCCTAGGATTTTTTTTTTTTTTTTTAAGGGGAGATAGTAGAGTGATTGTAAGTACCCTTTCCTAATGATTTTGTTTGGCTTGTTGTGCTGAGGATCAAGCCCCAGGTCTCGAGCCTGCAAGGCACATATAAAGCCCCATCCCAGCCTGAGTGACTGCTTTATTTGTGCTGGTAATTTGATGAAAGAAATTAAGTCAGGCCAAGAACACAGAAATGCAGTGAGCCCCTGTATAAACTACCAGGTGCAGAAAATTCAGTGTCACATGCAGGGAAGGCCATATGTACTGGTGTTACGTAAATCCTTTGAATTTTTTAGAGCTCTGGACATGGTTTCGGAGCGGGATTAGTAAATTCCGTTTTATGCTTTTTAGTTGTAATTTCATGCTATTCAAAAGTAGAGAGAAATAGCACAGTGACCCCCAGATTCCCATTAGTCCAGTCCCACGGATCCTTGAGATTCTGTCACATCTCCTTCTCTTGTCCCAGGTTCCTCTTCTTCTGTCTTTGCATGAATATTACATAGCAGATCACTGGCATCCTGTCACTTAGCCATTCTGCGTGTGTGCCTACGCAGCATGGACATTTCCTCATGTCACATCTGACAAAACCAAGAGCTGTTTCAGGCATTGGAATTGCAGGTTGGAGGCCCATCTGAGGGACAGCGAGAGGACAGCTCGGGATGTGGCTCAGTGGTAGAGTACCCCAGGCCCAGTCCCCATCCTGCTCCCACCCCCAGATTAAAACAATTTCCTGTATCAGCTCATCCAATCTTTAATTGAGTTTTTTTTATTTATCTGCAAAATAGCTTAAATATTTTTGCTTTGAATTTGGATCTAAACAAGGGTCATGCTTAAACTTGTTCTGTGCCTCTTTTAATCTAAAACAGTCTCAGTTTAGTGTTTTTATTTTTCATCCCATCAGTTCTTAGCTGAAAATTCTTTTCTTTTTTTCTTCCTCCTTTTCTTCAGATTTCCTTCCTCTTACCTCTCCACATTCAACTTTCCTTTATGCTTATTGTTGGTTTCGTTAGGGCAGACCTGCAATCCCAGCTGCTGGGAAAGCTGAGAAATGATCACAAGGTGGAGGCTTTGTCTAACAATAAAAATAAAAACTGCTGGGGGTGTAGCTCAGTGGTAGAGCACTTGCCTAGTATATGTGAGGGAGGCCCTCGTTTCAGTTCCTGCTAAGACAGAAAATACATATACTTTGGGACTGTATTAAAATATGACTTCCACACAAACTTAGTTTCCTGCGTTGCTTTAATTTTCTTCAGCTGAGGCCTTGGGGAGCACTGAAGCCAAGGCTGTACCGTACCAAAAATTTGAGGCGCATCCTAATGACCTCTATGTGGAAGGGCTACCAGAAAACATTCCTTTTAGAAGTCCCTCTTGGTATGGAATCCCAAGGCTGGAGAAAATCATTCAAGTGGGCAATCGGATAAAATTTGTTATTAAAAGGTAAGATTATCATCTGCAGAAACAGGTTTTTAAAGTGTTTCCTAAGATGCATTTGATGAAGATGGGGCGTTGTTTTCCTTTCAGTAGAACTCTTTCTCTATATTTAAAACCAGAAAACGCCATTTAGCTTCATCTTCAGCAGGTGTTGGTGCAAGATGTACAGAACTGGGTCTGTCCTGCCCTTGACAGGCGTATGCACACACCAGAGCGCTCAGTGTCCCTGAGCATGGTCAGGGGAGTCGGTGAGGACAGCAGCACCTCCAGGTGCATACAGAATAGAAGAAGGGTGTTTCAGACACCAGATGGCATAAGGAGACGGGAGGTGTCGGCTTGCTTGCATGTCTCTACATGGAGCCGTCCTGCATGGAAGGAGTGACGCCTGGCACCAAGGGCGTGGTGTAGTGGACAATGGGATCCAGACTCAGACGATAAGCATAGGGAAGCCAACAGATGCATTGACAGTCGATGAAAGGTCTAGAACAGATTCTTCTTGTCATTGCTTGGGTCTGCACTTTCAAAAGAGAATTCTGGTTTGATAGACGAGGGTTAGTTTGGCTCATCTTTACTCACAGAAGGACTGTGCAATGGTAGACTGTCGCTTGTTGGTAGTTGTGTGTATTTATTGGGACTGAGAGTTAGAAGGGAGAAACTGTTTTGTGGTATAGCACCTTGAAGATTTAGAAATAGCAGTCTGCCTTGGTTTGGAGGAAAGCAATTATTTTGCACATTTAAGCATAGAGTGCCTTTGAAGACCTCTGTGTAATTCCATGTGAGTGTGTGAAGATTGCTATTTTCAAAATGAACTAGTAGCTGGACACAGTGATACTTGCCTGTAATCCCAGAAGCTCTGGAGGCTGAGGCAAGAGGATCAAGAGTTCAAAGCCAGATTCAGCAATTCAGTGAGACACCTGTCTCTAAATAAAATACAAAAAAGGGCTGGGGATGTGGCTCAACAGTCAAGTGCCCCCGAGTTCAATTTCCAGTACCAAAAAAAAAAAAAAAAAACCCAAGAAAAACTAGGCACCCAAATGGTTTTATTTCACTGCAGAGACATATTTTAAAATAATTCGCAGTGTACAGCTACCTGAGAAAGGTCTTTAAATTGTTCCTAAATGCTCTGTCGTAACATGATTCGTACTTTGACAGACCAGAACTGCTGACTCATAGTACAACTGAAGTCACTCAGCCAAGAACCAACACTCCAGGTAAGAGGGTGCGGAGTGTGTCCCTCTCCTTCCCTCAGACTCCGTCTTGGAGAGCTGTGGAGCCCTCCTTCCTGCCTCCCTGCCCGCGCCTCTTGTGAAGCTGGGCACAGGCACAGGCAGTGTGGACAGCTGAGCGTTGCTGTAGCCTGATGCTGTCTGGCAGCCACCTGTGCATCTGCCCATGCATTCTGTGCTTCCCTGTAGCCAGATTGGTGTGTTTCCCTCTGTAATCTCCACTTGGAACACAGGTGACACGTGTGTCCTCTGACAGTCTGGGGTCTTTTACACTTGGAGCCTGTCTTGGTTCTAACTGGCCACAGTGCATCTGTGCAACAGGCCCACGTGGCCAGTAACTTTTCATGTTAGACCAAACACACACAGAATTGTATCCCACTCCTCGGGCCCTGTTGTTAGTGAGCTCCCCCGGTGCCCGCCCTGCGCAGGGCTGAGGCCAGGCCCCAGTGGAGGAAGTGTGTTTTTCCTTCCCATCTTCTTGTTTATTGTTGCCCAATATCAGCAAAGGGGATGGTACTTTATAGATCTTTTGTGGTTTGGGGACACCAATTGTCAAGGATCTGTAAATAGCCATGTGCAGTCTTCTGTGGCGTTCCATGTGCCAGGAAAGGAATGTGGACGGCAAGGTAAATCCCAAGTTTGCCTTGGGTGTCCCTGAATTTTCGAAGTCATCTTTGTGAATACCAAGGTGACCAGCGTGAGAGTCGGGTACATCTTGTACGTGTCCTGATGCAGCACCAAGAAGGGATTTTAAGAAAACCATGAGTTTTGAGCGCTCTTGCAAGAATAGGTTTTTCGTCATTTACAACAAAAATTTTAAATTTGAATTCTCCTTCCTGAATCACTTCTCATGTTTGACAAATACAGGAAAGCCTTCTTTTCCTTACTACCCAGGGTTTTTGTTTTTAAACCAAAATTAAGGGCATCAGTGGAAACAAATTAACTCCATTCCTATGTCTACATCTAATCTAATTAATTAGATCTAATTTTTGTCCCCAGTCAAAGAAGATTGGAATGTTAGAATTACCAAGCTACGGAAGCAAGTAGAAGAGATTTTTAATTTGAAATTTGGTAAGTAGAACACATTGGTTATGTCTTCCTGAGCTTAAAAACAAATGAAGGCCATGTTCTGAATGAATTAAAAGTTCAGGACCTACAGAAAGTTCCAGAAGTTTGTGATCGTGTTTATTTCTCCTCTAAACTTGGTACATAAACCAAGCAAATCATTATTTCTTTTGGCTGCAGTGTTCTCGCATGTCACTGTGGGAGAGAAGGGAGGAGTGGGGGAATCTCAGACCCACTGTCTCTACTTCTGATCTGGCTAACACCTGCGTGGCAAATAGGTCTCCTCATTTGTTTCAACTTAGATTTGTTGACAGCAGTTTCCTGGTGCGCTGTCTTGAGAAGGATTCTGAGGAGGCTCAGCAAGAAAGAGTGTTCAGTTGATTGGGTCTGTCTGTCATGGAGAAGGAAGTAAGGAGTGGGGAGCTAGAGTGTCCTGGGCGTTCCTGTCCATCATGTAATACCTAGTGTTGGTGGCTGTGTCCTTGAGGAGGAGCCTTGCGTCCTCTGCCTCTGGCCACTCGGCTGTGAGTGCTGCACAAATGTGACCTGAACATCTTGTGTGCTTCAGTAGCCAGCTTGCACCTGGAGGACAGTCCTGAGGCGGGAGGTGCCGATGCTGGGCCCAGAGCACAGAGGCCATTTTGATTGACAGCACAACTGTGGTCCTTCTTTTGATTTAGAGTGTTAAAATGCTTCTCTAGAAAGTACGTAGGTTTTAGGATGATTCTCAGATTTTCACAGCATACTAAGCCTATTGCCTTCAGTCTTAAGGGGGATGTGGGTAGATTGTAGGGACATATTTGTGGCGACTTAAATATGTGCAGAACATAGTAAGTCGCCACAAATAAAACAAGGAAAGGTTTTTATCCACCACAAGTAACGTTCTCCTGCTCTTTTCAGCTCAAGCTCTTGGACTTACAGAGGCAGTGAAAGTACCATATCCTGTGTTCGAATCCAACCCGGAGTTCCTCTATGTGGAGGGTTTGCCAGAAGGAATTCCCTTCCGAAGTCCCACCTGGTTTGGAATTCCTCGACTTGAAAGGATCGTCCGTGGGAGCAATAAAATTAAGTTTGTTGTTAAAAAGTAAGTCGTTGGCTACCTCAGCCCTTTTTGGAATTGGTAAAGTATTTCTACTTAACATTTTTTCTTAGAAGCGTGGGACTTTGAAGTCCCTGCTGGGAAAGCCTGGCTCTGGGCTGAAATCCTATCGTTATCCATTTCCTCTGCAAATCTTCTTTTTCTTTTCTTTTTTTTTTTTTTGTTCTGAGGGTTTAACTCCGGGGCACTTGACCGCTGAGCCACATCCCCACCCCTATTTTTGTTTTTTTTTGTTTTTTTTTTTTTTGAGAGAGAGAATCTTTTAATATTTATTTTTTAGTTTTCGGTGGACACAATATCTATTTTATTTTTATGTGGTGTTGAGGATCAAACCCAGCACCCTGTGCATGCCAGGTGAGCATGCTACTGCTTGAGCCACATCCCCAGCCCCTATTTTTGTATTTGAGACAGAGTCTCACTGAGTTGCTTAGGGCTTCACTTTTGTTGAGACTGGCTGTGAACTTGCTATCCTCCTGCTTTCTCTCCTGATCTGCTGGGATTATAGGCGTGCACCTGTCTGCAAATCTTTTTTTTTTTTTCCTTCTGTTTTGAAAATTGGAGGCCAGCCTCGGGCCTGGGGAGGTGACAGGTGTGCCCCACTGCCTGGTATGGATGCCATGTGCTGTGTTGTTCCTGATACATCTTATGATGGCTGAACATTGTTGATCCAAGTTCTTCTTTACCTTCTTGCAGAGCTACAGTGGTTGAAGAAACTAATTTAGTTTTAAATTTTATTTTTCAAAAACACTGATCGTGGGCTGGGGCTGTAGCTCAGTTTGTCGGGTGCTTTCCTTGCATGCCCAAGGCCCTGTTCAGTCCCCAGCACCACTCACACACGAACACACACACCCAGAACCACTGGTCGTGGTCATTTACACTAACTGGCCCACCATCCAACTCTGTGTCCTGATTCTGACTTTTCTTTCCAGACCTGAGCTGGTCGTTTCTTACCTGCCTCCTGGAATGGCCGGCAAAGTAAACACTAAAGGTAAGAGGCGCGTGGCTCTTTCCCGCGCTCAGTGCTCTGGAACCTTCCTTGTCAATTTCCTTATGTCATACTTGAGCATGCACCATCTTGTGGGGTTTGGTTTATTTGTCATTTAGGTATTTTATTTAATGTTCCTCTTGTTCTTTCTCTCTCTCTTTTTCTTTTTTCTTTACATTTCATTGAAAATGTCATGTTTGCAATCCTCCTTCATTCGTGTTTCCACAGCTTTGTTGAGACTCAATGGAGGATTACACTACCAGTTTAATTCTTCAGGTTTCTTTGAAAAGAACCAAACTGTATGAATTTTAATACTCTGCTTTTATAAAGCATCCCCTTCTATAATTTTTTTAAACAATATACAAAAGTAATCGTGTCTTATTTTACAGCATTGCAGTCCCCTAAAAGACCACGGAGCCCTGGAAGTAACTCAAAGGTTCCTGAAATTGAGGTCACGGTGGAAGGTAAGGCCATTCCTTGGCAAGTTCTGTTGATTCTGCAGTGTACTAGTTATGTGAGTTCACTGGTTGTAGTTTTATGCAAATGAGTTTTTATAGACCTGGTCAATTTCAGAATGTTTTTTAATTAAAATAAAAAATGGAGACAGTAGCACATGGAGTTTTTCCCTTATCTTTTTCACCCTCTTTCTGCCTTTTTTTTTTTTTTTTTTCAGGGAAATTTAGGGATGGTTTAAGTAGTAGTGCTTTGGAATAAAATAGTTTTTACTATGCCCTCAAGTTGCCTTTCTTCTTTCTGCTCCAACTGGGTCTCTTGTCTTCTCATTTCCATGGTGTTAAAATACTCAACAAAGCACCGTATGTGTTCCTCAGCCGCTGGTACGCAGGAGTGTTGCCTGCTGCCTCTGCATTAATGAGAAGGAAATAACTGCATTGGGAGGATTCTTTTTGTCCTGGGTTTTTATTTTTTGTTGTTGTTTTGGTACCAGGGATTGATCCCAGGGGCATTAACCACTGAGCCACATCCCAGACTTGTTTTGTATTTTATTTAGAGACAGGGTCTCACTGAGTTGCTTCACGCCTCACTTTTTGCTGAGGCTGGCTTTGAACTTGTGATCCTCTTGCCTCAGCCTCCTGAGCTGCTGGATTACAGACGTGTGCCCCTGCACCAGGCCTGAGTTTTCAGTTTTGCATTAAGAAATTGCTGCATGGGGTTGGGGTTTGGCTCAGTGGGAGAGTGCTTGGCTAGCATGCTTAAGGCACTGAGTTTGATCCTCAGCACCACATAAATGAAAAATAAAGATATTGTGTCCACTTAAAAAATTAATAATAATAATTTTTTTTAAAAGTGCTGCCATCGGCGCTGCGATTGTGACTCGGTAGTAGAGCGCTTCCCACACATGTGTAGGGCCCTGGGTTTGATCCTCAGCACCACATAAAATTACATAACGGTATTTTGTCCATCCACAACTACAGATATTTAAAAAAACAAAGAAAGTGCTGCTATCAAGCGGAGCATGGGTCCCCGTTTAGGTCTCCAGCACACTGAGGACCTGTTTTCTCACATGAAGGACATCAGGCATCCTGCACAGTTCATTCATGTTCACCATTACCAGATTAAAAATTTGTGTTCACAAATGCCCAGAATCACAAATAGACTCAGTCCTCTTTCTCCTTTTGGATCAATCTGAAGGCGATCTGTCCTGCACACATGACCTTTCTTTCCCTGAAGGAACTCGTGACTGCTTTGAAAGTGCATGTGCTGTTCCTTATTAAAGTGACACACTCGGGCCACCAGGCAGACCTAGGCCTGAGTTCACCACGGCTTGTGCCCTGTGAGCCATGACAGTGCCTCGGGGAACACGAGTGCACAGGGAGACAGGAGAGGATTATCACCAGGCAGGGCACACAGCAGGCCTTCCTTGGAGGGAAGTGCCAACTGGCCAGGTCCACAGTCTGGAGAGGTAGTGCTCCCTCTGGGAGCATGCGCATGTGCTGTTCCCAGCTGTGCTCACTATCCCAGTGCCTGCGGGCCTGGGCCATCTGGCTCCAGGTCACAGCACCGGGGCCTCTGAGGCGACTGGTCCCTGCCATGTACCGGTGATGTGTTGGTGAGGAAGGCCACTGAAGGAGGCTACATTAGTGGTTACAGTGAGAAAAAGAGAAGAAACGGAGGAGGACAGGTGAGGTGGTGAGTGCAGCTACAGGCCTGGTGTTGAGTGATACATCCCTGGGGACAAGGCAAGGTGCTCTACAAGAGCAGAAAGGGCAGAAATATAAACAGCCATGTGTATTTCTCAAGCAATGAGCCCTAGGTGAGTTGAAAAGTCTCATTTAAAAACACTGAGGACACCAAGAAAGGCTCGGGACAGGGAGGACAGCTGCCCTCAAGGGCATTCCAGTTCACCATTTGTTTCTATCCCTCTGACTCCAGTGTAAATTCACTGGGTGCTGTGCTGGTGCTATGGCTCGAATGGATTAACCTCTGGGTGTTAAATGTAAGTTTGGGAAAAAGTGAAGCGGGCTGTGGACATGCCCCCGTGTGTAGGCACTGCCTGGGGAGATGGGTTGATGCATAGCCAGGCGCAGAGGCGCATGCCTCTAATCCCAGTGGCTCTGCAGGCTGAGGCAGGAGGATCGTGAGTTCAAAGCCAGCCTCAGCACCTTGGCAGGCCCTAAGCAACTCAGTGACATGCTGTCTCTAAATAAAAAATAGGACTGGGGTGTGGCTCAGTGCTTCAATTCCCAGTCAAAAAAAAAAAGATTGATTTGTAACAGTAGGTAGGCTTCTGGATGTCACTCTGGCGTGTGGTTTTTAGCTTTTGTCTGTTCATCCTGTTGAAACAAAGCTTACTTAATTGTAAACTCTTGGCCAGAAAAATAGAGAAACACAGCTCGTGGAACTAAAAAATAAATATCAAAAATTCTCTCTCTCTCTCTCTCTCTCTTAAAAAAAAAGAAAGGAATATATAGAGATTGAATTCAGACCTAGGATTCTCTGGAGAATTATTTAAACTCAATTTTTCGTGCTCTATAAAACAGGACTAAGCGTAGTGTTGAATGCTTCAAGTTTTTAAAAAATTGAGATGGCATTTGTTTGCTGTGAAGTCTCCCTGTTTGGTGGTTCAAGTGGGCCAATTATGTGTTATCTCACTATGACTCCAGAGCTGGCTCCAGAGGCCTCTGACCACTCCACTGGCTGTCCCTCCTCACTTTCCGCACAGCCGCCAGCCACCGGCTGCTCTTTTATTTTCTACCTGATGTTCCGCGTGGATGGACCCGAGCAGCATGTCTCTGGCCCAGGGTTCGGCCTCCTGTTTGGAGGCTCCTCTGGGCTGGGCTGTCTACCTGTCCTCCATTTTTCTTCCTCCGTTAAAAAAAAAAAAAATTGTGGTGATCAGTACACAGCACAGAGCTTACCAGTGTGGCCACTTCTCCACGCGTGTACTTCTGCAGCATTCAGTACATTCATGTCATTGTGTCCTTTTCGCCAGAGCACCTGACCTCTCCCAGCTGAACCTTGACCTGTGACATCAACTCCAACTCTCCCCCTGAGGCCTGTCCCTGACAAGGGTTGTGAGCCGTGTGCTGTGGTACTGTCCCATCATGGGGAATACTGGGCCGCAAAAAGAGTGAAGTCCTGCCATGTGCAGTGACGAGGAGGAGTGGAATTCCTCGTGTTGGGCAAAACAGGCCAAGTGCAGGAGGGGGGCGCCTCGTGTCCTTGCTGTGTGGAAGGGAGGTGCTGGCTGCCGGCTTCAGTACAGGCATTAAAGTGGTGAGAGGAGACCTGGGTTCTGTGTTCTGTAGCAGGACAGCGTGGCTGTGGGGTGGCTTGAACCAGGCCTTGCGCACACTAGGCAAGTGCCCTGCTGCTGAGCCTCCGCCCAGTCCTGTGGGTAACGCTTGGTGAGAAGAATCCAGGGCGTGTTTCAGGATTGTATTTCAGGCTGGGGTATTGGGACGCTCCCCACAGAAGACCCCTGCCCAGGAGCTGGAGGTGCTGTGCCCTGGCTGGGTTTTCCACGCCGTGTCCCTGTCACCTGGCTACACCCCACACACAAATATTATGTCTCAGAAATTCCATAAAAACTGAACATTAATAAAGAATAGCAAATATACAAAATAACTTGGTTTTTTTCAGAACAAGTAAGACTAGATGTGAGAGGTTGGGACCCGAGCAAGAGAGAAAGCGCAGGCAATGGTGACGCCCACTGTGTGCGGCCCTGCCGTGCTCCTCTGCCGGCCCCTCTGGCTCTGTGCCTCTGTGAGACATGGCTAGAAAAGTGGTCCCTGGGACCACGTGGCCAGTACCTGGTTTCGTAGATGACCTTTCGGGTCCTGCAGCCTTGACTGAGTTGCAGCGCTGGTTGGTGCGGGACGGGGGCGTGCTGGCCCGTGCAGGTCTGTCCTGCATACCTGTTCTCCTTGCGGTTTTTCTTTACTCAGTTTCTGTTACCTATGGTTAACCATGGTCCAAAAATATTAACTGGAAAATTCCAGAAAGAAACAGTTCATAAGTTTAAAAAAAAAAAAATGCAGCTTCCGTGCACCGAGGTGTACAAAGCCCTGTTCTGCTTCCTGTTCTGGTCCTACCATCAGTTCTCTGGTAACGTGGCCAGAGGTGGACGGGCGTCCTTGGTAAGTTCTGCATTTTCCAAGGACCTACAGCGTCAGCTGCATCTCTTCTGTGCCCACCTGTGGTATGTGGGGACCCTGCTTCCGCGTGTCCTCGGTGCTCCTTGCTGTGTGTTGGTCCCTGGTGGCAGACGCTCCTCCAGGGAGCACCACTGTGTGCGTGCACCACACATAGCCTGTCAGACACTTCACTCGCACTCCTTCCTGAGCCGGGGCTCACACGATCCCCCTGCCTCAGCCTCCTGAGCAGGGACACGTGGGTGAGCTGGGCAGTGTCTGGGTAGATGTCTGAGAAGTGCCAGGTGGTAGGGAGGGAGCAGAGACGGGCTATGACCAGCAGTCATTGCCATTGTCGTCCAGACTTGGCTGTTTCTGGCATAGGCTGGACTGGACCAGAGGTACTACATAGTAGGATTAATCAGATGCTAGTCATGGTTTTTCTTGACTTTCCTTCAGGCTCTAACAACAATAATCCTCAGACCTCTGCCGTTCGAACTCCCACCCAGACTAATGGCTCCAATGTTCCCTTCAAGCCTCGTGGGAGAGAGTTTTCCTTTGGTAAGTGTGTTGTGGTTTTCTCACTTCGCTGCATTACACAAAGGAATGCCTCTTGGTCCAGGTGACCCACTGCTTTTTCTGGTAAGTTAGCACCGGCCATGACAAAGGTTGCCAACTGTCTGACCTGGGTGTGAGCTCACACTGCTGATCACCCACATGTCTAGTCTGGCCTTAAAGGACGTGTGTCGGGCAGCAGGTGAGGCCCTTATGATGGCAGTTTGGCCGTACCTTCTCGGTTGCTGTGATCTTAAACCACCTCCAAGTCGAGCATCGGGAAGGGCTGGAACTCGGCTGTCTAAAGCTAGCTTTCTGGGCCTCCGCTTCTCGGCTGCCATTTGTAAAACAGAGACAGCTCTGCCTTCCCACGTTGCAGTTGTGTGGACCATCGGCGTCAGCTCCTCACCTGTGCTCGATAGACGCTGTATTGGGAATGGGTTCATTTCTTGTTTATTTCAGTGCATGTCATTTCAGCCAGGGTGTCAGTGTTGCAGTCGAACACTTCTGTAGTGTAGCAGGGTGGGCGTGCTGCCAGCCTGGGACATGTTAGAAACTGAGGACTGTTTACTTTGTGCCTCCTAAAGCTGCACAGTGAAAGGTGAGCAACCCTGTCTGTGACCGTGAACGACACTCTAACCACGTGTTTCTCTGCAGAGGCCTGGAACGCCAAGATCACGGACCTGAAGCAGAAGGTCGAGAATCTTTTCAATGAAAAATGCGGTAGGTTCATTTTGAAACCTTACTGAAATATAAAGTAGCTTTCGATAAATCTAAGACAGGGAGCAGAGTTATTAAGTGTTATTATCTCTGGAAATCTGTGGGTTTTCCAAGTTTCAGTTTCTAACATTTTACTGAGCACCTTGCAAGACATCAAAGGATGCTTTCTAAAACTAAGTTGTGTTTTTGAGTAAAGATGGCTTCAGTGTCTGTGAAATGCTCACAGTGCATCCCTAGAGCTGAAGGTGGGTAGTGTGCAGGGGAGAGGTGCGAACTGTCTGTCCTGTGCGTCCCACAGGTGAAGCTCTTGGCCTTAAGCAGGCGGTGAAGGTGCCGTTTGCATTGTTCGAGTCTTTCCCGGAGGACTTCTATGTGGAAGGCCTACCCGAGGGCGTGCCCTTCCGAAGGCCCTCTACCTTTGGCATTCCGAGGCTGGAGAAGATACTGCGCAACAAGGCCAAGATCAAATTCATCATTAAGAAGTAAGCAAACACAGTGAAGCCAGGGACAGGCACATGGTTTCCCCTTTGTGCTGGGACTCTGATACCAAGGTCAAAATAGTCCTCCAGCCTCCTTTCATGCAGCTTGCCTTTTCCTTAGTGAGTTACCAAGGTACAGAGAGGGAGCAGGTCCTCTACCAGAAGGTGCTTACACTCAGGTTTCTACGGGGTGGTGCTGCTGACTCTTACCAGTGGTTCAGTTTTTCAAAGGTCTTTTTTCCCCTGCAACTTAAACAGTATTTTTAACTTCACCTATGTTTGCCTGACCATCTATGAATTAATTAGGCTAAATGAAATAGATGGGAATAATTAGAATTATTGATGTACATTTATATAACAGCCTCCCCAGCAGTTTGAGAGGCTGAGGCAGGAGGATCATGAATTCAAAGCCAGCTTCAGCAAAAGTGAGGCACTAAGCAACTCAGCAAGACCCTGTCTCTAAATAAAATACAAAATAGGGCTGGGGATGTGGGTCAGTGGTCACGTGCCCCTGAGTTTAGTCCCAAAAATGAAGTCCTACTAGGTACAAGTGTACTTTTGGGCCACATGGTTTTGCCATGTCAATCAGAGCTGGCGTCGCCACACTTCATGACCGTTCGCTGCCCTTTAGGCCCTGTCCTAGAGGCTTGGCAATAAGGCTGCTACTTCCCAAGAGGAGGTGCAGGGTTCGGGTCCAAGGCTTGTCGGTGTCTCTAGGCTGCACACTTGGGGCTTTTCCTGTTTTCATTCTCACACCTTGCCCTGATTCTCTCATGGACATGCCCCCAGCATGGGAAGAATGCAAAGTCAAACTAGGACACTAATGGGTTCGAGCAGAGGGATGGGCGGGTGTCAACTCAGGTGTTATTGGGCTTTTTGAGATGTATTCTTCATGGAACCACATTGTTTCTGTTTATGGTTAGGAGCTGAATCTGCTTGCACAGGGCTTCTAAAATCTTATTTAATCTTCGGTGATGACTTTTACCCTGGGTTAGCCATGTTTTCTCTCTTGCTTGTAGACCAGAGATGTTTGAGACGGCGATCAAGGAGAGTACCTCCTCCTCCAAGAGCCCGCCCAGTGAGTGTCCCTGGGATGGCCGCAGTGCTCTCCCCACAGGGCGGGTGTTGGTTTCGGGGTCTTTCAGATCAAGTGCTGAGTGGCAGTGCTCGCAACGAGAACATGCCGTAGTGGGAATGGTCAAACCCGGGTGGAACTCAGAGCGTGGCTGGAGGGGGGAAGCTTGCCTGAGGCCCGAGGCCCTGTGCCATCTGCCGGAGGGGAGCTCCTCACCTTCAGGTCCCTAGAGAAAACGTTGGTGCTGTTTGTTCTCCTTAATCTCTAATCTTAAATTTTCATCCTAAGGAAAAATAAATTCGTCACCCAATGTTAACACAACTGCGTCAGGTGTGGAGGATCTGAACATCATTCAAGTGACAATTCCAGGTATCCTTTCTCTGCCTTCATCGTGGTTTGTGGGTCTGTGTGGCTTTTCCGGGTCTCTGAGCGCAGGTTAATGGGACTTGTCCTAGTCACTCAGGGAGGTCCCACATCCTACAGGTCGCCTTGTGTCCCCAGGTCCTGCAGAGACCCTCAACCAGTACTGTGCTCTGTGCTTTGCCTGCCTGCCCCAGCTCCCGCCTCTCAGTCAAAAAATGATCTTCTATTAGATGAAAGTGTACTTTTGGGCCATGTGGCATTGCCATGCATCATGACCACCTGTGGCCCTTCAGGTCATGTCTAGAGGCTTGGCGATAAGGCTGCTGCTTCCCAAGAGGAGGTCCAGGGCTCGGGTCCCATGCCTTGTCGGTACCTCTAGGCTGTACACTTGGGGCTTTTCTTGTGTCCCTCTGCCCTGCACAGCACCTGTCATCATTGGAATAGGGACGCAGCACTTTCAGTTATTTTCAGTTCGGGTTGTAACTTGTTCACAGGACTGAAGTGCTGCAGAGACTAACAGAGCTCCTCGTGATCTACTTGAAATTAAAAGTGCATTTTTAAATTTTGAGTTTTCTCTGGACTGTTTTCAGATGATGACAATGAGAGACTGTCAAAAGTTGAGAAAGCAAGACAGCTGCGCGAGCAAGTGAACGACCTCTTCAGTCGGAAATTCGGTGGGTGTTGTATCGTGAGATAGTTTGCAGTAAACCAGGGATCTCCCTCCCTCCCGACCCCCGGTACTGGAGATTGAACCCCAGGGTGCTCTCCCCTGAGCTACTTCCCGGTCTGGAGGTTGTGTTTTAAGAAGGTCTGTTCAGTAGACCATTGTCATGTAGTCATAACCTCCTGATGGAAAAGAAGTAAAATTGGGGCTGGGGTTGTGGCTCAGTGGTAGAGCGCTCGCCTGGCACGTGTGGGACCCTGGGTTCTATCCTCAGCACCATATAAAAATAAATAAGCGGAATAAAGGTGTTGTGTCCAACTACAACTAAAATAAAATTTAAAAAAATCTTTAAAAAAAAAAGAAGTAAAATTTTAAAAATTGCTCCAATAAGAATTTTTATTGTGTTGTTCTATTAATGGTCTGTATCAAAGTTAATAAAACCAAGGCTCCTGTTTGTTTGCTGAATACAGAGAACTTAGCAGACAGGGTGGCCTTGGCAGCGCATACTACTTTGTGCTCTTAAAGTCGGCGTCAGGTATGAGGTCCTCTGCTTCTTGCTGCCTCGTTACAGGCGAAGCTATCGGCATGGGCTTCCCTGTGAAGGTGCCCTACAGGAAGATTACCATCAACCCTGGGTGCGTGGTGGTGGATGGCATGCCCCCCGGGGTGTCCTTCAAAGCCCCCAGCTACCTGGAGATAAGCTCCATGAGGAGGATCTTAGATTCTGCTGAGTTCATCAAGTTCACAGTCATTAGGTAAGTGGGGTCCCTGCTTAGTCACAGGGGCAAGTCTAGAGATGGCCAGGCTGAGACATGTCCCTGCCCCATGAGTTGTGTGGGGTCCAGAGTGAGGAGCAATGGGTGTTTGTTTTAACAGTGCTGGGCATCAATCCCAGAGCCTCGAGCAGGCAGACCGGTGCCCTGTCCCTGTGCTGGCTTCCTCTCCAGTTCTTAGGCAAGCCATTGGCAGATCACAGGAGGCCTGTATCCACCATCCCACCTGCCATCTCTGCATGCCCTCTGTCTGCTCTCCTGCTACAGTGGGAAGTGTGCGTAGCTGGCAGGGAGACACTGGGGCCCACGAGGCCTGCAGTGTCACCATGTTGGCGTGTCCTTGTGAAGGCAGACGGTCTGGGCTCAAACCAGCCATTTGTAGCCACGTCACTTCTGTTTCTCCCCCTGCGAGATGGGGTGATGTCGTCCCTTCTAGAGCGCCAGCTCCTTGTTGTGCTTACCCCACAGTGAGCCCCTCCCTCCTAGCCACCTCAGCCCATCACTCGATGCCACAGCCCTGTCTCTGGCAACGCAGGTTCCTGAGGGCAGGCCCCAGGCCCTCTGGGCCTTTTTTCCTGCACTCATGTCCTGAGCAGCCAGAGACTGAGCAACGCCTTCCCAGTAGCCATCACTGGGTTCTCTGTTCCTGTCTCTGCTCATATTTTTGCTGTCTCCACTTAAGTGGAGCATTTTATGACAGTGGTGTGTGTGTTCCTGCACACGTATGCCTGACACACGCGCGCAAGTATGTGCTGCTTTTTTTTTTTTTGGTTAAACTAGGCATTGGAACCACGTCCCCTGTCCTTTTTTATCTTCTATTTTGAGACAGGGCCTCACGAAGTTACTGAGGCTGGCCTTGAACTTGTGATCCTCCTGCCTCAGCCTCAGGAGTCATTGGCATTACAGGTGTACGCCACTGTGCCTGTCACACCCATCTCTTCTAAAAGATTAAAAGTAGTGGATAATTAGTGACACAGGTTAAGTATTAGTTGAATGTACAGGTATTCTTATACTGTTAAAATATGTGATTTGTTTCTCTCTTTAGACCATTTCCTGGACTCGTGATTAATAACCGTGAGTATCTCACAGATTCTAGTGGTATGTTGCCGGGATCCTGGAGTTGGTGGTGGGTGGTGGGTGCTCAGTGGGGCGCGTTTCTTACTGTTTTAACCCTCGGCAAGCTTGGTCATGAGTGACAGGATAGACCCCATTTTGGAGGTTTCAGATTTAAATGACTTATTCATGGTACGTAAACAATTTAAAGTGGGTCAGTGAGCCTGCGTGGTGCGGCCATGTTGGGTACCCCCATGGTGGGCGCAGAGCTGAGCGGGCGCAGCAGGGTGGTGTGGCCTGACTGTTCACTGACTGGCTCCATAAGGAAAGCTTTGCAGCGGAGGCCATAAGTAGGTGCCCAACCCTCAGCGTCTGGGTGTGGTGTCACAGACCGCAAGGCAGGATGTCACTGACAGCATAGGCCACAAACTGTGACTTGACTTGCCCACGTGGGCTCGCATGTTGCTCAGTAGACAAAGGTGGGTGTCCTCCCAGTGCCCTGTGTCCATGTCGTCAGGAGTGCTCAGAGCACTGTGGTTCTGCTGGTCTGTTCTGCGCTGTGCTGTGACTTCATCGCTGCAGGTTGTCAACGTGGTGACCATTCTTTTCTGAGACCCTCAGAGTGTCTCCATCTTTTCTGATTAGAGTCGCTGTTCTCTCCCGAGCTCCATCTGCTCTGTGTTCACTCCCTAGAAGCCAGCCACCCCAGGGCTGCGCTCTGTGGGTCACCGTCACCTGGAAACTGAGCAGCTGGGGCTGTTGCACCTGCTTTGCAGAGTGGCCTCCCCTGGTGGGGGCATGGGTTCTGGCTCTTCGCCTTCTGGGCTTTGAGTGTGACTTAGTCATAATGTCCTCGCTGGCTCCTGATGGAAGCTCCGAGTTCCTCTCCTGTCGAGCCCCCTCAGTGTGCCTTCTGCTGGGCAGTGTTAGTATCTGCCTTCTTGACCTCAGCTCTGGTCACACTGGGACCCTTGCCATTTGAGGGAATCCCACAGTGATTTCCCCTTTGATTCTTTTTATGGATCTCAGTTCATCTGTCCCTCGTATGATGTTTAAGAGCCAAGGAACAGCATGTCTCTAGCTGCCTGCCCCAACTGGGTTGAAAGGGCATGGATCTGTGCTCATCCTCGTACAGCAGTGGGCACTGGAGTTCTGTGGTTGTTACTGTGACATTCGTGGTTTGGTGGAATATACCGGAATCTTTAATCACTGTTCTTTCTCGTCACGTGGCAGAGTTGTACCCGTGGACCCGTCAGATGTGACTGGGTGTTACTCAGTTGTTGTCTGAACTCTCTGCTTCTTTTTTCAGAGTTGGTTGATCAGAACGAGTCAGAAGGCCCTGTGATCCAAGGTAAGAGGAGCCGTGGGACAGAACATCCCCCGCCTGGGCAGCTCCCTGGAGCTGCGGCCTGCTGTCGGTTCTGCAGTGTGACACACACACCGTCTGGGTTTTCTGGACACCTGTGTTTGGAAGCCCAGAACATTTTCACAGCTGGGGCTGGGGCTCAGGCTCAGGGACAAAGTGCTCACCAAGCGTGTGTGAAAAACTCACACACACACACACACACACACATTCTCTCTCTCCTCTCTTTCTTCTCTCTCTCCTCTCTTTCTTCTCTCTTCTCTCTCTTTCTCTCTCTCCCCCCCCCCCCTCTCTCTCCACTAATTCAAGCTGCGGGTCCTGACTGAAAACTGGGGGCCACAAATTGTTTGAGCCCACTGTCCTGGGTCAGGTGCAAGGTCATGAACCGAAAGGTGTGGGGAGTGGAAGGAAATGTCAGGGTGAAAGAGTCGTCTTTTTACTCAGGCTGTCCTGGAGCTTGAGATCCCCCTCCCCCAGTCTCCCAAGTCACTGGAGTCACAGGCATGTGCCACCTACCTGTCTCCTGCTGGCACTTTCTGGCACTTGCTGCAAATCAGTGAGCCAGCTTGTTTCGGGTAGGAGTTGTCTTTTTGAATTTCCTCAAAAATGGGGAATGGCTGCTACTGTTGAGATTGTTGAAAGTAATGAAAAGCTTTTATTGAAGGCAACCCAGGGAAGAATGGATGGAAAACAGAAGGAGCTTCCTGCTCCCTGTTCACAGCCACATCAGGATTGGTGCCAGCTGGGCTCCGGGGCAGGACGCTTGCCTAGCAGGTGTGAGGCACTGGGTTCCATCCTCAGCACTGCATACAAATAAGTACATAAATTAAATACAGGTATTGTGTCCATCTACAACTAAAAATTAAAAAGAAAGAATTCAAAAAAGAATCTCAAGTTCAAAGCCAGCGTCAGCAGCGGCAAGGCGCTAAGCAACTCATTGAGACCCGGTCTCTAAATAAAATACAAAATAGGGCTGGGCATGTGGCTCGGCAGTTGAGTGCCCCTAAGTTCAGTCCCCGGTACCAAAAAAAAAAAGATTGTTACTTGGAGCTGGGTGCGGTGGCCCTTTTTTATGATCCCAGCTGCTCAGAAGGCTGAGGCAGGAGGACAACAAGTTCAAGGACAGCTGCAGCAACTTTAGGGAAACCTTAACTCAAAAAATAGGAAGGACTGGGGATGTAGCCCAGTTGTAGAGCACCCCTGGATTTAATCCACAGTACTGCAAAAATAAAAAAAGATTGTTATTTACTTGTGAGTGCGTTGCTCAGGTGCATGCTTAGCATGTATGAGTCCCTGGGCTCCGTTCCCAGCACACTCCCCCTCAAAAAACTGCTTCTAGGGGCTGGAGTTGTGGCTCAGTGGTAGAGCACTTGCCTAGCATGTGTGAGGCTATGGGTTCAATTCTCAGCACCAGGGGAGGGGAGGGGGGATAGTAGAGGATAGGAAAGGTAGCAGAATACAACAGTTACTAATAGGGCATTATGTAAAAATGTGGATGTGTAACCGAAGTGATTCTGCAATCTGTATTTGGGGTAAAATTGGGAGTTCATAACCAACTTGAATCTAATGTATGAAATATGATATGTCAAGAGCTTTGTAATGTTTTGAACAACCAATAAAAAAAAGTGGGGAAAAACAAAATTCTCAGCACCACATCTAAATAAATGAATAAAATAAAGGTCCATCAACATCTAAAAAAATATTTTTTTAAAAAAATGCTTCTGAAGGGCTGGGTTGTGGCTCAGCACTTGCCTAGCCTGCGTGAGGCCCTGGGTTCGATTCTCATCACCACAGTCAAATAGATGAATAAAATAAAGATCCATCAACATTTTAAAAAAAAATTGTTACCGAAGACTTCATTTGTGTGGTTGTATATTCTCACTTATTAACACATCTCAGAAAAGTAGGAATTTGAAAATGTTGTTGAATAGTTTTAGGTGGAATCTCCAGACACTGGTTATGGTTTCTTCTTGGGCTTGTGGTTTGCTTACAAAGATTAGAAGGTTTCTCCCTTGTCCTCCTTCCAGAGTCTTAAATAATTGAAAGCATCCTTTGAACACTATTAAAATAAGTCTTCATGTATTTCTCTTTAGAATCAGCTGAGCCAAGCCAGTTGGAAGTACCAGCAACAGAAGGTAAAAGGGTGGTTGCGGTCCACTTGGGAAAGTCTGAAGATTCTGAAGGCTTTTATTAGGACAGATGATAAATTGCTTATAAATGTGTGGTGGTTTTGTTCTTTTGTTTGTGAGTGAACTGGAATCGTAGTTTATGCCAGGAGATGTTTAGAGCTGACCCATGGCTTCTGTTCCTTTGTTTTCCTAGATAATTTTGGTAAATTCTAGAGCAGTTGAATAACTGCTGTGTAACTGAAGTGGTGCTTAATGGTCGTCATTGAGTGTATAGACATAATGAGATGTTTCTCTTTGAAAATACGAGTAACAAGGGCTTGTTGATGTCGCTCAGTGGTAGAGGGCTTACCTAGCATGCAAAGGCCCTGGGTTCAATCCCAAGCCCTGCAAAAAAAGTAGAGAAAACACAAGTAATAAAATATACAATTTAACTCATGTCAGTTGTGAATGGATGGGTAATTGGCAGGCTTTCATTAGCAGTGATTGATCAGCACCCTATTATTTTTCCTGATAGAAATTAAGGAGACTGACGGAAACTCTCAGATCAAGCAAGAACCAGATCCCACGTGGTAGACCTCTTCCCTCCCAGGGTGAGTTGCCACTGCATCCCCTCTGCTGTTCCCTGTCCATTCGGACCAGCTGCATGTCCATCTGCCCATCAGCGTCCTTCCTTCTCCTGGGAGATGCTGCACCACCTTCAGGGATGCAGGGCCATGTGCAAGGTCTGCAGGATTGTTTGAGCTAGGAGCTTAAAACAGAGGTTTTCCTTGTATCGACATCCCTCTTTGAGTCAACGAGGTAAAGGCTGGATTTGCCCCCAGCCACTGGAATTCCTCTGAGGCATTATCACTGGACTTCTGTCGTGTAGTAATAGTCAGCCAGGTGCATGGTGCATGCCTGTCATTCCCACAGCTCAGGAGGCTGAGGTAGGAGGATCTCCAGTTCAAAGCCAGCCTCAGCCGCTTATTGAGGCCCTAAGCACCCTAGCAAGACCTTGTCTCTAAATAAAATATAGAAAGAACTGGGGATGTCGCTCGGTGGTTAAGTGCCCCTGGGTTTAATTCCTGATGCCAAAAAAAATACCAAACAGTTTTTGCAGAGTGTGGTGGAGCCTCAGGTGCGTTCTTAGTTCTGCATGTTGAGTTACAAGTCCAGTTTTACTGTTCCAGGTGTAGATTAGACCAAGAGTCAGGAAAATGGGAGTCTGTCCTCCTGGACCCCTGAACCACCTCTGTCCATGCGCTGGTGGCTACTGGAACCAGCTGTGGCTGGTTCTGATGTGCAGACCCTGACTGTGACTTATTGGATCCAGCCACTTGATTGAAATTTGTCTTTTGTTGCCAATTCATAGACTTCAGGTCTCATGTCACCTCATAAGTGCATTTCAGTCCAAGTAATTGTAATCAAAAATTGCAGTTCTGTGTTCTAATATGTGTGAATGTGAAATTCCTTTTAATCAGATTAACCTGTCTTCTTGTTTGTTCTTTCTCATTTTAGCTTAAGGTGTCAGTGGTTGAGAAGAGCTTTTTGGACCTGTTACTGCCCCAAGCTGTGTAATATACTTGTATAACAGAAATACCTTCTATACAAACCTTTTTTTCTACTTTTAGATAGAAATGTCTACTTTTTCAGCAGTTCTGTGAATTGAATTAAAGAGCAGAGTGACTGTAGATTTGGAATGGCTGGTTTACTTTGGAATGTATATTAAGGATTTCAGCAATGCTGGGAACACGACAGGGAAATGACAGGGACGACTCTCAGCAGATATTTGGACGTATCCAGCAGAGCCTTCGGCGTGGTGTGTATTTTCCAGTTGAGAGAAGATATCTCCTACGGGAACATCTCAGCTTCTGCAGCGAAGAAAATTCCTGTGATAGTCAGTTCTTTAGTTTTTCTATTGGAAGAATCATTTAAATGCTCCTTGTTCACTGCTGTCCTTGAAGGCCGAGTGAACAGTAGTCATCTGTATATTTGACTAGACCTTTTCCTAAGCTATCTATCATGGTTCCTGCGTTTTTATCATAATGAAGAGAACCACCGTGTGGACGCCTGACGGTCGGTGAGAGGCCCAGCGTGGGTGGACGGCCTGCAGATCCCTCTTCCACTTCTACGCTTCGTCCAAAGCGTAGCCTGGGAGTCAGGGTTGGGTCTGAGCGCTCAGGCGAGCCGCGCCTCAGAATCTGTGGCGTGGGCTGTCACCGTCTGTCATTTTCTAATTCTGCGTGGGACACTGAGGCACCAGTGGGCAGCAGGGCCAGCAAGTTGATTGATTCTGCACCCTTGCTATTCTGCGCCATACGTAGGAGAGTCCTGGTGTGGGGGGAGTTCACAGACAGTGGGTCTCGATGCCGGCTGTGGAGCTGGAGGCGGGGAGGCATAGCGCTCTCTTTACTTATCACGATGTTCACATGGAGAATCATATACACGGTAGCAAAATAGGCATTTTTATGTGTTGCTTATATTTTACCTCAAATTAAATTGTAGATATAGGGTAATAAATAAAATCCATCCATGCCTTTCACTCACCCCCTTATTTCTTTCTGAGGTGTCTTTTTGAGTGCCTGGGAGCCCAGTGGGTGGGGTGGTGGCAGGTGATCTATGGACGAGGGCCAGGTTGGCGCTGCCTAGAGCCTGTGGTACCTGGTGGGTGGACACAGCTGTCCCTCGTGTTCCTGAGGCCTCTGTCACGCCAGTCCTCCTCCAGTCTCCCTGGGGTGTGCCAGCCATGGGGGAAGAAGCGTAGTTTAGGTAAGTGTGCTCAGTTTCCTTTGGGTTTTGTTTTGTTTTTTGAGGCAGGGTCTCACTTCTGCTGGTCTTGAAATCACATGCTCTTCCTGCTCCAGTCTTCCAAGTGGTGGGGTTCCAGGTGGAGCCCCTGCGCATTGAGCGCTTTGTAGGCCAGACCCCTCTCTGCAGAGGGAGGGGACTGCCAGCCACATGGGGAGGCCAGCTGCTCTGGGAGGATCTCATCTTCCTTTAACTTGGCCTTCCCTGTGCCCTCTGCTGCCCCGCCCCACAGCAGGGCAGCCTCCCTGTGAGACCAGAGGTCTGCCCCTGTGTGCTTTATGCGCAGGCCCCGTTAGGGTTTAGTGACAGGTGTCTCCTGAGCGGTCTGCCCAGGCTCAGGCCGCTGCGTCTTCAGGTGTGAGGAGTGCCTCCAACCTCCTGCATGTTCTGTGACCTGGACAGGTGAGGAGGGGCAGGCCTGCCCAGCTCCCTTCCCGGCCGCCTGTGTGTCCCGGGGTGGCCACTTCACCAGGCTGCCCCTCAGCAGCAACACTGTGCTGGCTTTCTGTTTCCATAACAAAATACTGAAGATGGTCATCTTGGAAGAAGAAAGGTTTATCTGGTGGTTCCAGAGGTTTCCGTCTGACCCAGTTAGTTGCTGCTGGTCAGGCCATGAGGCTGCACCTGGTGGGTGGGCTGGGGGAGGAAGCTGCCCTCGTGGACTCTGGGAAACACAAGGGACGGGAAGAGGCAAGGGTCCCAGTATTCCCTAAAGGACACAGCCCCGGTGGCCAACTCCACTCTGGGGCCTCACCTCCTTAAGGACCCACCTCAACAGCACCATGGCATTTGGGGGCACTTGCCCAAGCCACAGCACATGGCAGAGGGGCCAGGCCTGTTTAAGATGGTGGCAGTGAAGCTGTGGCCTGCCTGCAGCCCAGCAGCCCCCACAGAGGCCTTGCCCCCCTGTTGAGAAGGCCAGTGGGAAGGAGCGCGGTTATTCAGGAGGTGGGAGGGTGAGATTTGCCCATTAGCCTTTAGGTCTGAATTTGAAAAAAAAACATGTCTGGGATCTGGGGTAGATCTGACGTGTTCCTGTTCGTGGGACGTGATTCCGCGGTAGTTCAAGGCGGGATGGGCTGACCAGCCAGTGTGGTCAGGTGACTCCGGACCAAGGCTTTGGGACCCTTGCAGACCCCACTCCTGGAGCAGGTCTGTGTCCCTGGACGGTAGGAATTCAGTCCTGTCGGCTAAGTAGGGTAAATCTCACCGTCCCCAAGCCCTGGGGGAGAGCCACGCAGTGGGATAGGCGTGGCCAGGGTAGTGTCCACAAGAGGGACAAGCTCTGTCCTTGAGTGGCCTTTGCCTAGGGCCTTCAGGGCAGCCAGCCGCCTGGCACCAGAAACAACGGCCCTTGCCCCCAGCCACAGCACACAGGCAGGCTTTGGCAGCTGGCACACTGCGGGGTACATCTTAAAAAACTGTCCTATGCAGTGAGGTCCAGGGCTCTGGAGGAAGCTGATGCCCCGCCCTACACAGGCTTGAGTCTGGGCCTGCGGCAGCCTTGAGGCCCAGGTGGCACTCCTCCTCCATTCCCTCGGACGGAGGTGCTGGTTCTGGGCCTCCTCAGCCCCCAGATCTGCCTCCTGCCCCAGAAGCCAGCAGGTCTGTAGGGGAGGAAGACAGTGAGACAGCCCCGGCCACACCCATGCAGCGCCCAGCCCCGGCTATGTCCACACAGCGACCAGCTCTGGCATTGGCTGACTCTTAGTGGGCAGATGATTGTCACCAAGTGTGCACCTCTGGACACTCAGGGTCCAGCACTCACCTCCTGGAAGGGAGCCCTAGTTTCTGGACTTGTGGTGCATGCTTTGAAGATGTCACATGCTCCCAGGGGAGGAGGGGACCCTGCAGGCATCTGTTTCTAGTGTGGACTCCACTGCCCTGCTCCCTGATCCCGGGGTTCTGCTCTGCTCTGGGTTTGACTCATGGCAGGTGCTGTGGGCCTAGCCAGCCAGCTCCTTCCCTCTGCACACTGACCAAAACCAAGGGCTGTCTGGCTGCGGTGCTCCCTCTGGGCCTGAGGCCGCTGTACCTTGCTGGTGGTTTGGTTTTGGGGAAGTCGGTGACACAGGCGGTGACACAACACCTGTTTGTGGAGGTGCTTCCTGCCTTGTTGCTCGCAGAGGAAGAGGGTGGCGTTACAGCGTCTAGCATTGCTGAGGCTTCCGCAGTGCAGTGGCAGCTCCCCTAGGAGCCAGGACCTAAGCTTGCCCCAGGCAGGTTTCCAAAAGGTCCAGTTGGCAGGGCACCCTGGTGTGCGTCCCTCAAAGCCACATGTGCCCTGCACCAGCTGCACCCTGGCTCTCCCCGGGTAGTGACAGGCCGCATCCCACCACTGCTTGTTCTGCACTCTTGGGGACAACCGCAGAAATGGCCAGCCCTCCCTGGAGACTGGACTCTGAGGCTGGGTCACAATAGCTCGCCCAGCCCCCGGTGGTGCCGAGCTGCTGGGCTGGCTGGAAGCGGGCCGCAGGGCAGCAGGAAGGGCAAGGGGAGCCGGGCTCCGGGCGGGGCGGCCTGGAGAGTCCCCATCTCTCCCACAGGTATTTCCAGAGGACAGAAGCGCAGTGGGATAGGCGTGGCCAGGGTAGCGTCCAGACTGCCTCCACCACCAGCCTGCCCTTTGGCCCAGGAAGCCTGGGCAGAGCTGCCCCACGGCAGGCGCTGCTGCCCTGCCGGCTGAACCTGAAACGGGCCCACGGCCTGCAGCAAGACCCCCTGACCCCTGGCCTGGAACTGCCCCTCCCCTTGCGTCCCTGCACCACGGAGGCAGCCCTGGCACCTCACTTTGCTTAGTCCTCACAGGAGCCCAGGAGGTGGGCTCAGTTGTCAGTGACTTTGTACAGTTGGCAAAACTGAGGCCCAGAGGGCTTAAGCAGACTGGCCAGGGACTGTCAGGACCAGCCTCGGGGTCGGAGTGCTCACAGCCCAGCAGTCTGTCCTCCCCACAGGGCCTGTCAGGGGCCTGGGTCCCCCTCCCTCCAGTGCCCCTGAACAGAGACCCAAGGACACCGTGAGCTGTCCTAGAGAAGAATCCCACGCAGTGGGGCCAGTGGCGTGGCCTGAGCCTGTGTCCTCTATGCAGTCGCCCAGTGTCCATCCCCACTCAGCAGAGCACGTCCCACACGATTGTGCTGAAGGGAAACTGGGGTCCCTGGGAGGCGGAGACCCTATGAGTAACCTGTAGAAACCTCTTGCCCTTGCGACCTTGGCCCCACAGAGCCAGTGTCCTGGCCAAGCAGTTGGCTCCGGGCCCCTCCTGCTGCTCTGGGCCTGTCTAGAACTGTTCTGTGGGCCGGCCAAGGGCTGTCACAGTGGCCTGACAGAGGATCAGGATGTCAAGCCCCTAAGAAGGGCACCAGAAGGGTCTTAGGCCTCAAAAGAACAGTCCCACCACAAAAATCACCTCCCCTGGCAGAAGATCCCAGAGGGCCCTGCTTGGGCCTGGTTTCCAGACGCAAAGCCCCTTTCCACACTGTCCATTGGCCCAGTCTCGGGGATTTCCTGGGTAAGGAAATGACCAGACCGGCCCATTTGGGGAAAGCCAAGTGGCCCCGAGGGAAGCCAAGGTCCTCCCTGCCTCCCCTCCTGTCTGGCCTGGTGTGAGAAGTTCCCTCCTTCCTGCAGGCTGGCGGGGAGGGGGCTGTGGGGTTGGAGGATGGGCCTGGGTTCTAGTCCCAGCTCTGCTTACCAGCTGGGCCACCTTATGACCCCTCCCCCTTCCTTCTCCCATCTGTGAAGTGCAGCACTAAAGGTCCTGGAGAGAAGCTGTGTTCAAAGTGCAAAACACTGCACCTGACCCGGAGTCCTTCCTGCTGGGGACCTAGGGACTTGGGGAACTTCATTGCCCAGGTGACAGCTCCCTGGATGTCTGTAGCAGTCATAATTCTTAGTGCTTAGCTAAACTGCAGTTTTCTACATATTTCACATTTTTTTAAATGACTTTATGTGGTGCAGAGGACGGAGCCCAGGGCCTCACACGCTAGGTAATCGCCCTGCCACTGAGCCACGCCCCAGCCCTATTTCGCAATTTTTTAAAGTTTTTAAAAATTTTATCTCCTCCCCCACAAAAAATCTGTATTCATCATCTCCTTCCCTATTTGTTAATCCCTCTTTGTGGGGCAGGGAAGGGGTTCACCCACTGTACTGGGGCCCGAGCCAGGGCCCAGCATGTCCTCAGCACATACTGTACCACTGGACTACACCCCCGGCCTTCAGTTCCTTAAAAAAATAATAATAATCTGGTCACCAAAGTGCTCCATCCATGCGTTCACATGAATCCCATGTCACCCTGACACAAAGGCCGAGGGCCTGCTCACAGAGGTCACTACAAGGTCAAACGTTCTTGGCACTACCTGGCCGTTGTGCCAGGGGTCACATAGGCACAAGGCCAGGTCTCTGGAGGCTGCAGGAGGGTGGCAACTGAGCCAGGCCTGGTGTACCCAGGACCCAAAGGCCTGGCCGGGCATTTACTCAAGAGTAGGAAGCCTGGGGTGGGGAAGGAAGTGCTGAGGCCAGAGGCCACTTGCAGCAGTCCTGTGCCTAGGTCCTTCCAGGCCACGGCACCTGCGACGGGACCAGAGGAGACGCGGAGCTGAGGTGGCAGGAGGAAAGCCACCAGCCTAGGGTCTGCTCAGTCTCCCATTTGTTTTCAACCTTTTTTTGGGGGGGTGGGGTGGGGCAGTAACCAGGGATTGAACCCAGGGGCACTGACCACAGAGCCATGTCCCCAGCCCTATTTTG